GTGACTATGTGCAGGTAAGTTTTCACCTGAAATCGTTTTACTTCCACCTGTTTCCTTTGAAGAGTTTGCACAATACAAAAACCTGTCGACTATTTGTTCCCATGCACCAACACCAAACACTTGCTTGAGGACCTCTTGCTTCCATTGACGTGTAAATAGAACCTACTGGGTTCATTAAATCAAACATATGAGATATTATAGGATTGTCTCTTTTGAACTTAAAATAGTGCAACTATTTCAGGTTTCTTCTGGTTCATGTCAGAATATTTTTTATAATATAATCTTATGTTTTCAGGGTAGGTAAAGTCTTGACTATAATATTTATTTCTGTCATCTGTATAATAGTATACTATTCTCGTTTTTTCTATTGCATTATATCTTTTATATCTATAAAAATCTAAATATAATGTTAGCTTTTGTTCATCTACATGTGGTGTTCTTTCGTCATCTCCATAGTCATAATAGTATGGTGCTGGAGCTGGGTCAGGCAATGTCATATCTGCCATTTCATAAACTCTTAAATATTTCTTTTGTTCGTCTCCATATATGTTTAAGTAACAGTTGTTGTCTAATGGAACTTTAACTTGTGTACCATCGTTCTTTTTATAGCTTACATACATTTCATTGTTATTTTTCGGAATGAGTTTATACCGTGTACCATTTTCTAAGGACTGTACCAACTGCCATCTAAAATATTTATTTTCTTCATTGACAGAAAAGTCACCAACAATAGTTTCAATATTTTTTGTTCCAACTAAACTTTGGTATATTTCATTGACATATGTTTTATCTGCTTTCTTTTCAAGGCTAACGTTTAAGTCTGTTATTTCAGAAGATGTATGTGTATGTCCAACGTCACTTTTCCTGTTTAAGGTTTCTTGTAAGTTTGTAATATTTGCAATGGTATGTGTATGTCCAACGTCACTTTTCCTGTTTAAGGTTTCTTGTAAGTTTGCAATATTTGCAATGGTATGTGTATGAGTCTTTTTAGAATATTCGTTTTCAGCTCTTGTCACTTCACTTGACATTTTATTGTCAACATATGTTTTGTCAGCTTTGTTGTCAACATCTGCTTTCGTTGCATATGTTGCATCTGCTCTGTCATGTTCTTCTTGAACTTTTTCAATGACATACTCTTTGTCAGCTTTGTTGTCAACATCTGCTTTCGTTGCATATGTTGCATCTGCTCTGTCATGTTCTTCTTGAACTTTTTCAATGACATACTCTTTGTCAGCTTTGTTGCCAACATCTGCTTTCAAAAGAAGTTCATCTATAGGTTTCTCGTTTAAAGTTCCTTTTGTTGGATTTACACAGACAGTATGGTTCTTGTTGTCTTGAAATAGAAACTCGTCTGTCATTGGGTTTATCGTCAGTTTTAAGTTTCCTTCTTTCAATGACTCAGATATCTTAGAATAGTTTGAAAAGTTTGTTGTGTTCTTATTTAGAGCTTGCAAAATGAGTTGTCGGTTGTGTTGTATTTCTCTCATAGACGCTGTTTCATTTGACATTTTTATTCTAGATAAAATATGCTTTCAATAGAAAAAGAAAATTCAAGAGTTGCTACAACTAAACCATTAGATGAACTTTTTACTAATGTCGGTCAAAAGTTTGAGACAGAGACCGTAAAGCATGAAGGCTATCGTTTTGACTACCCATTGAGATGGTTAAGAGACCCATCTGTCACAAAAGCTGTTGGCTTTCGTAGAATGAAGTTCATTTCAGAAGCCATACATGGTTTCCCATTTACGGTCGGTTTTACCGTTCGATACTATAACAAAGAAAAACGTACGTATGAGAAATTTGAACAGGGAAAACTTTTACAAGTGAATTTGCTTGTAAACTTAGAAACAACTCTTCAAGCTTTTCAAGAAAAAATAAACGAAATCTATCTCGAATATGCAAACCAGTATAACATTGACGAAGGAGAGTACCATCTCGATATTGTTTATGACAGGAAAGATGCAACTGTTAAAATCAATAAAATAGAAGACCTTGGAGAAAACGTTTATATTTCTACAAAATATAACAACTTGGCATGGCATAGATTTATGAGGATGTTAAATCAGCCTGCATGGTATCCAGTACACCCGGACTATTATGAAGTCGAAAACCCTAATGGAACATATGAAAATGTTTTCGACCCAGATGCTATTATTGTTCATGCTTCATTTTCTGGCGCCCAAAACTCTTTCTTATGCTTGGCAAATGACTTTTACGAAAAAGCTACAAAGCTATATGAACCACCAAGTGGAAGTATTTCAGACTTTCAAGTATGGTTTACAACAGATGGAAGAAAAAGAATAATTCCATTATACCATGCGTTTTACTTAGAACTTAGTTTCATATACAACTACTATCGAACGGTAAAAATATAATTTTTTAATACGGTTGAGGTGTTGGATTTGGTTGCCAACTAGACTGTGGTGCAGGTTCAGGCTGTTGTATAACAGGAGCTTGTTCTTCTGGTTCAGGGTCTTTAGGTATAATACCAACAAACTGACCTACTCTTTTACCAATATTTTTGACACCGTTCCATACTCCTCTTCCGACAGATTTTATTCCATTCCATATACCTCTTCCAACTCTTCTGAAGAAGTTTCCAATACTACTGAAGAAACCCATTTTACTATATGTAAAAATCTAATGTCCGCCTAGTCTCTTACGTTTCCTGTTGAGTTCCATAGCATTCTTTAACTGGAGCTCATACATTCTGTTTCTCCTCTGGTAGAAAACATATTCTGGGTCAACTCCTGTGTTCGCGTCATCTGCATAAAGTTGTTTATATCCCACTTCAGGGTTTGTATAAAATTCTTTCCATCTCATATTTGCATACCATGGTGGCAAACCTAACGCAGCGTCATTTGACATGGCAGTTTGCATTTGTACATCTGTTGGCACTTGACCATAGTTTGCCATTGCAGTTTGTATTCTAACTTCATTTGGAATATTCTCTGGGTTTGGTTGTCCAGGTTGCTGTGCATTCGCTAAGTTCTGTGCGTCCATTTAATATTAGATAAAAATATCTCTTACGAGTACATATGCTGAACATTTGCTGGTATTGGTTCATCTTCATATTCTCTATATCTTTCTGCCACGTCAAATAAGTAAATGACACAATGGAAAAAACCTAAAACAAGTAGTCCTATTTCAAACCACATTTAGTTACCAATAAAATTTCTTTGTTATGACACTTTCTCCAGTTTATGGGACCTCTCTCATATTCTATCTTGTCATATCTAAACTCATAGTCATGTATGTCCTCTAACCATCTCATGACACTTTCCAAACCACTTTTATCGGATGTAAAGTAAAAGCATGGATGGTTATGTAAAACGTCTAAAGTTTCTAAAGAGTCTCTCAAAGTCCAGTCTACTTGGTATTGAAAATCCCATGTGTTATAGAACGGCGGGTCCACTATAAAGAAAACATTTTCCTTGTCTTTATATTTTTCATACAACTCTGTCCAATGACATCTCACAAACTCTATACCCTCAATATATTTTTCTATGTCCTCTTTGAAAACATTTGTATAGTTAAGATATAAAACTTTTGACATAAGTGTTTCAATGTCATGAACTCTTATAGCACCACTATATAATAGTCTAGAAGATATACTATCCCAGTCAATATACTCTGCCTTTTTCAAAACCTCTCTGACAATATTTTTGTTATCTAATGGTATACGTTCCATCTTACCTATAGGTATCTTTTCTTTTAACTCTTTCAATATTTTGTTAGTGTCTGGTATATGTTTGAGACGGTTCATATAGTTGTCGAAGTCATTGCATATAATCTTTGAGTCAGGAAATATTATATGGCACAAATGGGATATATAGAAACTTCCACCGAACAAATCTACAAATGTTAGACCATTCGGTAGTTTCTTAAGTTCTCTCAATAGAATATCTTTACATCTACTCTTATTTCCAAAGAAGGGTAACGGTGGTTTTGTAAAATTCATTTTATATATATAATAAAAATGTTTTTTCCTGAAAAGTGACAGAAAAGTGACAAAACATGAAAACATATATAATTTGAGAAAAGCTCCTGGAAGCCCTCCGAATAAAAACTTCATTTATACAAAACATCTTCGGGGCTAGAAGGGGCGCAGCCCCTGGAAGCCCCACTACCTTTTTTTTTTTTTTTTTTTTTTTTTTTTTTTAAACAACAATGAACTAAAAATTAGTGAATAACTACAATGGCGAAATTAAAATTACGATCAGAATAATTTTTATAAAAGAATGTGTTAGAAATTAGTAACGATTAAGATAAAATAAAAATTTGGGGAACGAGAAAAGTGATTGAATATTGGTAAACATGAATTTTTATTGAAAAATAAAATGAGATTAAGATTCTAAGCAGAAATTTTTAAAAATTAGAAAAATAAAAAACAATAAAGATAATAAAAAATTTGAAACTAAAAAAAATCGAAAAATAATGATAAAATAAATGAATAGTTGAAGACAAATAAAAATAAAATGTTATCAATAAGAAAATAATTTGAATAGGTTTCAATATAGATTGATCAATTTATGAATGGGAATCCAAAATTAGAACAGCCGAATTGGTATATTGATAACAAATGATATTATGTTATTAATAAGGTATAAATGTTTTGAATGTAATTCAAATTAATTTTGAATATGAAATTGAATAAGATTGAAAAATTAAATATATAGAATTTTGAATGAGTTTCCGTTGAAATGAATGTTATGGAAATGTAGAAAATATTAGCCTTTGGATGAATTGGAGGGTGAGAGATATTATTTCATACAATACTACTCTCACCCTCAATTTTAATTACTTAAACTCATTATATTTTTTTGACATGTAAGTGTCACTTTTACTGAGATCTAACACAACGTCAGATCTCTTTTTTTCGTATATAAGATGCGGAGTACATGTTCTTCGTGCAATTCTTCGCAAATCAAATAAGTTTTCTTCTCAAGAAAAATTTGAACAATTCTATAATTTGATGAAGGATTTAGTCTTCAAATTAGATGCAGAACATGAGGAAGAAGCAAATGCTGCCTATGATCAAGTTCTGGAGTTGCTCGACACAGATCCAACAGCATCTCAATACTTTAACAGACAATGGCGTTACAACATATCAAGATGGATTGCTCGTGACAGGCGTGAAGGCGACGCAACTAACAATATTGCCGAAGCTCATTTTAGAACACTCAAACATGACTATTTTCCTGATCGAAAAAAATCTCAGAATTGATGATGTTATTATAGAAATTTATACAAAAGTGATACCATCTTTCGTTATCAAACTCAAAATTGATCAAAATCCAGTAGATGACCGTGTTATTAGGATCATGGAAAAAGCAACTAACGCAGAAATTGATGTAAAAAGACAAAGAAAAATCGAGAGTATTTCAATGCTCAATAGATTGCTCAATGCTGTTAGTGATGACTCAATAGATCCCACTAAAATATATCCTACCTTGAAAGTATTATTACAAAGAACTCATTTTATTTAATTTTGATTTTAATTTTAGATTAAATTATTAAATTTTAATTCTTTATTTTTTAGGATTGTTAGCTTTGTAAGATTGCTTTCTCACAAGAGAAAACAAGTATAAGGTTTAAGCTGTATGTATTAAAGTTATAAATATTTGATTTTAAAAAAAATCAAGATTTTAAACTTTAAAGGTATTAATTATGATTATCTTTCTTTAGCTTTGCATGCTGTATGCTACTTTTGGAAACTGCTCTATTGTATTAGAATGTTTTTAAATTTTGCACCTAAAAATGCGTAATATTAAAAATTAAGGTATTAATTATGATTATCTTTCTTTAGCTTTGCATGCTGTATGCTACTTTTGGAAACTGCTCTATTGTATTAGAATGTTTTTAAATTTTGCACCTAAAAATGCGTAATATTAAAAATTAAGGTATTAATTATGATTATCTTTCTTTAGCTTTGCATGCTGTATGCTACTTTTGTCTTTGAGACATTCCATGATTTAAGTTAAGAAGCTTTAAAAAAAATGCAAAAAAATGTAATAAAATTTAAAAATTTTGAGTATCGTTAATCGGAAATATGTTGTTTACTTAAGCCGCTCGCTTCGCTCGCGGCTTAGTTTCGTAATTTCATACAATCTTTTTTCGAATCTGTTCTTTTTGTCAACCGCGAGCGAAGCGAGTGGCTTTTTATTTTTAAAAAATTTTTTTTCTTTCTTACTTTTTTTCCCCTTACTTACAAATTTGATAGTAACTTACCAAATCTCTCTATCATATAATAATAAATTAATCCATTTTTTGTTTTAAATCTGACACTTTACATTTCTGACATGTAATACTGTCACTTTTCACTTCACCTCACTGGGCAAGTTTGTGCCCCCCTCATGACTGCGCCATATGAGAAATACTAGAAATACTTATTAATCAAATATTACTTATCGGAACAGAAAGTATTTATAAGTTCAAAGCAACGTACTGTGACCAAATATAAAAATCCTCTCAAAAAGCTGGGAATTGATAGAAGAATGTCAAAAAAATTATAGTCGAAGGCAATAAATTGTAAAATGCAATCTGATTAACTATTTAAGGATCGGCAGATATATCTCTGTCAAAATTTTGAGAGTGTTGATTTTAAATTATTATACAAAATTGGAATAATATTATTGAGGAAAACTGTTGAATCTGGTCGTAGCGTTTGGGGCCGTGTTTAAGCCATGCAATAGTCAGACTTGGATGACATAAGTTATTGGTTGATCTGAATCTTCAATATCTAAGTTGATGTATTATTCTAGTTTTGAGCATAAACATAGATTTTAGTGAGTATTTGTATATATGTCAAAAAAAAAAAAAAAAAAAAAAAAAAAAAGGTAGTGGGGCTTCCAGGGGCTGCGCCCCTTCTAGCCCCGAAGATGTTTAGTAAAAAATGAGGTTTTTATTCGGAAAATTGTTAGTCTTCTGGTGTGAATTCGGAGGACTCTTCTTGGATTGAGTCTTGTGGTTCATCTTCTTGAGTAGAGTCTTCTTCTTCAACATCAAAGTCATCTGGTGTATCGAACTGAATGTATGAAAGCCAAATGTTGTATGTGTTTTCCAATTGGCTTTCAAACTTGAGATACATTCCATGCATGAGTGTTATTTCAGTTTCAACGTAGAGTTGCTGACGTGGCTTGAAGACATGCATGAGAATTGGTCCTCCAAATTCGTCCTTGAAAAACTTGCAGTAGCAAACATAAACTGAGATAGAGTCTCCTTCTTCAATGTCTTCTGCTTGGTTAACGAAATGAATAGCAATTTTGCGTACTTGAATTGTGTTGTTGTCTGAGTAAAATAATGGTTTGAACTTGGGGTTGAGTGAGCTAAGACATTGCCATTTTGCTGTTTCTTGTCCGTACTCACGTTCTTCTTCGTCATCCTGATATCCGTAACTCTTTAATTTGAATTCGACCCAAAACTGTTCGACTTGTTTTGCAGCTTTGGGTGGAAGACTTTCAATAAGCTGACATATAGTTCTGTCAACCATTATCTTTGTTATTGTTGGAAAATAGTTGACAATTGTGTCACCTAATTCGAATGGGTCAGGTGTTTCTTTTTGTAGTTTGGTAAAGTCTGCAAGAACTTTGTTGAGTTGTTCACAATATTCTTTGTTAAAAGTTGCAGGAACTCTTTCTTCTGGCTTTGAATTGAAGTATTCTTCAGACAATCTGAGTAGTATTTTGCGTAGTTCAGCGTTGCTGTGGTTCTTTGTAATACGGAGCTCGTTTGGTATTGTTTTTGGTAGTGAAAGTGGCTTTGGATTGAGCGAATTGTCTGTTCTGCTTGGAGAATGTGTAGATGCTGCAGTTTGATGTTGAGGCTCTAAACCTGTGGGTGCTGAAAGTTTGCAAGCAATTTCTTCAGGTGAATTTGGAGCGAACACGCTAGCGAATGCCATTAGACAAAAAATAAACTGTTTTTTTCGGACTACTCATAGAAAAGTTTAAAATAAACCGTTTTCGTCAACGGTAACCCCCTCTATTTTTTTATTTTATTTAATAGTTACCGTTGGCAAACCGTTCCATCTCAAATATTGAATGAACTATAAACGTTTTTTGTTTTCTATACATACTTTTTTGTCCAACGGTAAAACTTTTTACACAACGGTTTTTGAGAGTCGTAGCCGTTGACTTTTTTGTAGAGCACTCAAAATAGTACAGCTTTGTCCGGACAAGTAAGGGTCTATCGTCGCTACAGGAAAAGTTACGGGCGTTCCAAGGAAGTATACTTTGAGAAGACTTTCCCCCTTATAGAATGAGATAGGACGGTTATTTTACAAAACTGACAACACTTTGACCGAGTAGTTTTTTGTGCTGAACAAAAAGTGTCATATAAACATCTGTCGAAAACCGCTTTTTAACTTCACTTAAAATGCCACGTAAGCTACGTAAGAATATACGTAAGAGGAAGAGAGCATTGAAACATCCAATAGTAAAACTGACACCACAACAACAGTTGCAACAACAAATGCTGAATGACCCCACTATGTTGCAACAAATGTCAAGCAATCCTATGCTTTTAAACCGAGTTCTTGGTGCACAGAGTGGAGGTTTAAGAGCGGCACTTTTAGCGAAAATGGCAGGCTATGGTGGAGCTGCAGACGGAACAGCCTATAACCCTCAAAGTCAAATGAATTTGAGTTCACTCAAAAATCAAATAACAGATGTCAAAAAGTCAAACATAGACATACAGAAGCAAATAAGTGAAAACGAAAAGAAACTAGAATATGACAGACACACAAAGAAACTCAATGAGTTAAACGTAGAGAAAAAGAAGAAAGAAGAACAACTGAAAGAACTAAGTACAGAGGAATATGCAAAAAAAGTGTCAGAAAGAGCAGCAGAAGTAGCAAAAATGGAACAAGATGTCATAAATTTGAAAAACCATACTACTCAATATAAAGTACTGAAAGATGAAGAGATAAAACAAAAAGCCCTGAAGACATATATGGATAGCGATGAGTATAAAAAGGAAGTTGAAGCAAATGTAAAGGCAGAAAAACTTTTACAGTTGCAAAACCAAACCGTACAGTATGAAAACTTAGCACAAGAAAGTAAAAATAACGACGCGGCTATGCAAAAGGCAATGAAAAGCGCAGAATATATAAAAGCTAATAATGACTGGTTAGATGCCCAAGCCAACGCTAAAGCAGCCCAACTCATAGGGTCAATAAGGACAAAAATACAAGCGGATGAAGATAGTTCAAATGAAGCTTTAACAAATGCTGACTTTAAGAACGCCTTCGAAGCTCTTCATAGTAAGGTGAAACAAGTGAACGACTTCTCATCTGGAAAGAAACTGAAGTCTGAAGGTTTCGACAACGAGTTAAGAGAAGTAGCACAAAATATGACGAAAATAACAGATGCAGCAACGAGACAGGCAGTTCAAAGTGCCTATGACGCCGTTAGAGCAACTGTTGTGGAAAGTCAAGAAAAAGAGTTACAACAGACCAAAACAGACCTAGTAAATGCTTTCTTAAAAACGAAAAGTCAGGTAGGACACTATGCTGCAGATGGAACATATGTGCCAGCTGGTGGAACTTATATACCACCAAACCCTCCAAGAGAAGCACCTGCACCAGGACTACCTAAAACATTTACATCGTCACATGGACATAGACACAGGCATGCACCAAAACCAACACAACAACCAACAGTTCAAAACCCTGCACAACAACCAACAGTTCAAAATCCAGCACAACAACAACAACCAGCACAGCAACCACCTCCACAACCAGCACAACAACCACAAACAGAGCAAGGACATAAAAGAAGTAGAGAACAAGGAAACCAAGAATTCTTAAAAATGCTTAAAGAAGAGTGTGGTTTCGCAGATACTGTTGACTTTAGTGACAGATATAAAGAAGCTATTAGAAAGTTCAAGGATGGAAATACTGACCCGAACCTATTTAGCTTTATGACTCAGCACCAAATGGGATATAATTTCAAACCTGGAAAATACAAGCTCGCTAAGGGATATGATTTAATAGCATATCATCCAAATGACATGAACGAATTTACTCCGAGATATTTGATGTCAGAGCTAAATGACAATACAACTTTCGTCATGAAACGCGTAAAAAATAGAGACGGAACGAAAGAACAAAAGCTTATGAATGCGGATGACGTAGATAGGGAAATTGTTGAAAACGGTCTCGGAATATATGAAATGCCAGCAGATGAGGTACAAGAAACTCCACAGGAAGAAATAGTTCAGATACAACCAGACATGGAAGAAATAGTTCAGCAACAACAGCTAGAAGAGCCTGAAGGAAACGAACAAGTCACTCCTTTGGAAACTAACTTCACAGAACTAGATGAAGATTTGGAACAGCCGAAAAATCTTGACCCTCAACAAGAGCATGAGGTGAATATGGAATCTTTCCAAGAGTCAAAAAAAAATTCAGCTGACATAGTAGAAGAATATCGAAAAATGTTTGCCGACATACAAAAGACTCCAACACCAGATGAAAATATTCAGCATAGAATGGAAGAACTGAAAAAAAATGTACACAAATACAACAACCCTTTTTACTTACGAGCATTTAACGTTCAATCTTCGGATGAACTCGGTGAAAATAAAAGGTTAAATTTCAAGAAAACATATAGAAATGAAACATTGTTTAAAGTTCATTCAGAACCTAACCAAGATGGAAACAAACCTACTTTTGTTTCTGCAGACGATGGAACTACAATGAGATGGGGTCATAAAGCTAATTCGGATAGGTGGTTCATAAACTTACAACCTCAATTCCAAGAAGTTGTAGACGCAATGGAATTGAATGGTGAACGAGATATAGCTGGTATTTTAAGCGCGGCTTTAATGCCATTGAAAGATATGAAACATGCAGATATTTTGGACCAGTATGAAATGAACATGGCTGATGGAAATATAACACCTGACGTTCTAGAACATTTATCTCAAAGAACTACACAGAACCATAGAGATGGTATATTTGGTGAAGAGTTTAGAAAGAAAGTTAGGGAGAGAGAAGGAAGAGAACCTATTGTACATGACCTTGCAAACGAAAGTTTACAAAATGTCATAAAAACTTACTTTGCAGACAATGAACTGAGAAGGGATGAATATTTAAGAAAACTCAAATGGACAGTACCAAATGAAATGTTAGTATTGAAAAACATGTTCCTTGACAAAATAAAACCAACTACAGAAATAAACGACGCAAGACTGAAAGATTGGGTAGAAGCTTTCCCATTCACAAAAGATATAGTTGGTAACATGGAAAGAAAACCAGAATGGCTACAAAAACATATATTTGGAAACGAGCATATTCCATATGGACAGGCACTGTTTGAAGAGCTTGAACCGGAAACTCAGGAAAGAGTCATGCAAACAATACGCGAAGACTCAAATACAAACTATGACAAACTCTTTCTAGGATATAGGTTACCTGAGATGGGCGACCAGAGCCCAAAGGCAAAAAGGGCATGGAAAATTTGCAACATACTAGATGAACATGAGGCAAAGATGCAACAACTTCAAGCAGAGGGCAATGAAGGAAAAAGAAGAGTTAAAAACTCAGTCAGGAAGAAAGTAAAGCTTGGTCCACGTGGGTTCTATTATGACATATAAATCCAACTATTCTATATTTTTACTCATATGAAATGTACGCCGCTCAGAATATAACGCCAACAGTTTTGGATGCTATGAATGGAAATGTTTCCGAATGGTATAACGAATGCGACAATGCCATTAGAAGGTCAGAAATAGTTCCTGGAACTTACGAATATACAACTGCTGTTTCTTATGGAAACGTAGGTGAGTTTGGAGAAGGTTCTTCAACAACAGTAGATATTGCTTGCGACAGGTTTCATATTATTTCTATTGACAACTCATTCTTATACGTGGAACAAGACATTGAAATAAAACCTTCTGCCAAGTTGTCTGACAAGAAAGGTTGCAATGGAATTTTCTATGTCGGATACCAATATGCTCCAGAAGTTTTCATGGGATATAAGATATATTCTAACTCTGACTTAGTTCAAACAGTAACATGGGCAAACTATGAATGGTTCGCTTTGAGAAACTCAGTACAACCACAAGCTAGAGAACAAACAGACCAGTATGCAACTATTGAGAAAATAAGAAGACTTGACCCTAACGTTCCAGGAGTTTATGTTAACCTTTCTGGACAAACTGCAGCAGCAGTAACCAAAGTAAAATTGAAACTTAGAGTTCCTTTGTCATCTTTCCTCATCTTCAGGTTTTTAAGATACTTGCCAAACTGGGCAGGAAAAATTTCTATCGAACTTACTCCAAGCAAAAATAACTTAGTCATTGCACCAACGCAAGACCCATTCACTCTTACAGACGTAAAGGGAGCAAATCAAACGTCATTCGCCGACTTTTGCAAAGACAAAGTTGACTTAGACTTTGGTTTCTCAAACCTCAACACTGAAGTAAACTACTACTTCAATGCTGCTGGAACTGCTTGGGACCCAGTTAAGTTCACATGCGAAAAATTTGAATGCAAGAGAATAGAAAGCAGACTTGCAGTCTATATGTTGGACCCAGATATTTCAAATGCTTTAGCTGCCAAATATATTGCAGTTCCACTTATGTTCCCTATACACCAAATATCTGTCAAAGACTTTGCAGGTGAAGTTGGAAACCAAAGTGCTGACCCAGGTGCAAGAACAGATATTGCCTTAACAACTGCAATGAAACATGCAGATACTATGTTTGTACTGTTCAGACGAACTATAAATGACTATTCTTGCTTCTACAACCCTGGTATTAAATACATATAAACATAGATGGCAAATATTATCCAAGAGAAGAATATTCTACAGTTGAGGATATGAGGTCATACAACTTGACATTAGATGCTATGAACTTTAACAACAACTTCACAACAACCATTAACCCTGAAATGCAAAGTTCTATTATGCCATATGTGAAAGTATGGACTCATACAGGAGCTCAAAACACTCAATATACAAATGGAGACCGTTCAAACTTTTGGCTTGGCATTCCATTTGCTGACTCAGAAGACTTTATGGGTGGTATTTCAACTGTTGGTACTGTACAAATACAATATACTGGTGACAGAGACGGTCCAGATGAATTGAAAGCAAAGAAGTTTACAAAACCAATAGCACTTTTCACGGAAGATGCTCTTTTGAAATTCGTTCGATGAAACCTGCTGGGGCTCCTCAGATTGGTATAACGACAGCTTCCATCGAGCAGATTTTGGCAGCAGGTCAGTAAGTTGTTCTTGAACTGACTTCTCTCCGTCAAATATTGACAGTACGCCAGTTTTGACATAGTATTGTATTATAAACTTACCTTTAGAAATATCGGTCAGTTTTTTTGTTATATTTTTGTCAACGTCAAGAACTTTCACCATTTCAGTTTATACCAACTTTCTTTGCTTTATGAAAATATTTAGGTTCAGCAAAGACTGCTATTCTATAACATTTTCCATTGTTTGTGTAAAGAACTATTCTGTCAATGTATTTGTATTGTTTGTGTGTGTAAACTTTGTTCTGCTTCAATTCGAAGAGATACTCAAATACGTCCATCTTTTTATTCTAAGTAAAATGTCATTTCCGAAAAATAGAAGCGTAAGTGTTTCAAAAGGTTTAATGCAGTGGCAGATGTGAAGTTAAATTCACCAACTCAAACAAACAGTCAAAGTTGTTTTGTCAATGTCAAAGACAGAGATGTTGAAGTGGGGAAACCATACGAAGACGAAGATGGTATAGCAATTGTTCCTGTAAAAGAACAACCAACATATCCTGAAGTTAGCAGAGACTTAAGTTCTGTTGCAGATATTCGAAATGACTACCAACAACTTAAAGACAAACTTAAAACTCAGGAGAAGATTTGTCAAGCTTTAGGTATAATGTTAAACTTGGTCGAACACAACCCTGTAAAAGTGAACTCATATGTCATTGCACCTCATGAAGTTTTGAAAGAACTATTGAAACTTTTGACAGAGGCAGACGATATAAACATCAAAGAAATAGAACCCGACATTAGTTGCTGTGGTGTTTCATATAATGTCATTGACAAGATATACGTTATGAAAGGAGGTGAAACGTTGAACTTAAAATATAGTTTCCCAGACGTCATAAAAATATTTGACGACCACAACATTTCATTAAAATTTAGTTGCTAAGTAAATGGCAGAAGACATAATGGTTTATACTATTACGACTAAAAACCCTGAGTCATATAATTCTATAACAACAAACTTACAAAGTCCTCAAGGACGATATTGTAAACTAACTTAAACACAATGACGACTAAAGCCTGTTTTGCTCTTTTGACACCAGAAGACTTTATTGTTGTGAATGGTAAAAAATACTCCTTTGAAGATACTTACTCAGATATACCACCAACAGGTTTTGTTGACTTATTTAATACTTTAAGGACGGATGTAACATGTGCTGCAACTAGAGCAGGTTTCATTATGTTTGGATGTCCGACTGAGTTTAGTATAAACGATATGAGCTATAATACAAAACTTATATCTGGTTTTTACTACCAACAGTTTCCTATAACAGGAAAAGGTGTCATACAAGGTTTGTCTGTTCCATTGACTTTAAGTACACCTATTTATATATTGTTTCAAACTTAGGTTCAAAGTGCTATTCGAATGTCGACAGAAACTACTATGACCAAAAGATACTCATGCGTATAAACAACACTTTCTCTGCTGGTTTGCCTATTGTTCATTCGAATGCAGAGTTTTCAGCTTTAGTGAACTCAAACACTTTAGCAAACATAAACTTAACCTTAGTTGACGCAAACTTTGTTCCTGTAAAACTTTTATGTCCTATGTATTTGTCAATGACGGCAGAAAGTTTCGAATTGGAAGATGCAACTGGTGAAAGTATTGTACTACAAGAACAACTTCAACAACAAATAGCTCAAGAACAACAAATGCAACAAATGGAACAACAAAGTCAAGAATAAAAAAAATATTTTTTTTATTTTTATAAAAATGTACAGAATAGATGTTTCAGATTTTTATGACTTCCAAGCATTCAGAAATATGTGTCCATTTAGAGACTATAACAAAGCAGTCGAGAATTTGAAACGTTTAGTCATTTATGTCGACTCTGCCCCAGAATGTTATGTTATGAAAGAATGGGATGTTGTCTTTAACAAACCAAGAGCAACAATAGTTCAGAACAAGAATGTAGACAGAAACTTAAGAAAATAAAAGTCGTACAAGTTGGCATGAAGATGTTAGATGCTTGGGATATCTTATTGTCAAAACTTGAAGATTTTTCAGTTCGTGGTATAAAGTTTTATACACCTTCTCCAAACTTCTATTCTATCTTCACTGGATATAAATATGAACAAGTAGAATGGAAAGAAAATATTATAGAAGCTTGGTTAGACCATGTCAAAGAAATTATATGCAATGGAAACGAAAGAGTCTATGAGTATATCTTATGTTGGTTTGCAAACATCTTACAACATCCAAGTGCTAAAAATGAAACTGCTCTCATTATAATTGGAAAACAAGGAACTGGTAAGAACACATTCTTTACAGATATTTTGTGCAAACTGTTAGAGGGCTATTCGAATCCGAATATGACAAACTTAGAAAACATCTGCGGTAAATTTAACTCTTCAATAGAGAATATGAAACTTATAGTATGTAACGAACTTCAAAGTATAGATACAACAAAAGTTTTGAACTCAGATGCTTTGAAGAGTCTTATAACAGACAAAGTTGGAGTTGTTGAAAGAAAATATAAAGACCAAAGAGTTTGTGAAAATGTTGCAAATTTCATCATGGTTTCAAACAACGCCGTTCCGATGAAGTTAGAAAGTTCTGACAGAAGATATGTAGTTGTCAGAACGTCAGATTCTCATATGCAAGATACAGAATTTTTGACGACTTAGCAGAAACTTTGACATCTGACTTTTACAACCACTTGTTCTCATATTTCATGACATTAGATATTTCTAAGTTCAATCCAAGACAAATTCCACATACCGAAGAAAGACAAACGTTGTTAGAAGCAAACAAGAGTGTTTATGAACTGTTTATAGATGAAACTGACTTTGTGTCATTAGATGAAAGGTCATTGTACGATGAATATAAACAATATTGTCAAGAATATGGTTATATGACAGCGTCTAAACGAACATTCTTGGCAAATGTCAAAAATCTTTTAGACGTTCAGAACGGCGTATATACAAAGAAAAATTTTTATGAGTAAATTTTTAAAAAAATATTTTTTATCCGATAAAAGATGACGAAATTCATCTCAGTAAATAAGTACATGACAGAAGTCAAAGAAGAACTAGACCCATTCGCTTATTTGAATGTTTACTTCTACCATTTTGAAAAGTCTACATTTGACAAAGTTTGGAACATCGAACCAGTTAAGTTTGCTATTGTGACTAAAAATGGTGCGAAATTTGAAGACTTAGACATAGAAGGTTTGTTAACAGTCAAAGAAAATTTTGACAGAAGGTTCTCAAACCTTAAAGAAGGCAAAGCATACAAACTTGTTATACCTTATGAACCAAAGAAGACAGACGACTATGAATATTATGAGTCTAAGATAGTTGAAGTTCAAGGTAAGTTGGGTAAAAAGATTTTAGAGTCTAAGCCAGTGTTTGCTCCTAAAGAGGAAGAGAACATTGACATTGACCAGAAATGTTCTAAAAATAAAATTTTATTTTTACATGTCAAATTTCTTTTTCTCTGGAACTGGTTCAGGTTCTTTCTTCTCTTCTTCTACTTTCTTTTCTTTCCTTTCTCTCTTCTTCTTCTTTTCTGGTGGAGTTATGTCAAATTTCCGAACCATATTTCTGTAAAAGTTCTTTGTCCTTTAATAGCTCATCTATTCTGTTTTCTATTTCATCTTCAAGAACAGCGCATGTGTCTTCTTTGCATTCTAAGAACTTTTGTTGGACTTCATCTTTCCAAGAGGCGTCATCTCTGTCAACAAGTCTGTCATTGACAAACTTAAAGACTTCTCTGCCTAATGTTTTATGGTTCTTGTCATATTCCCAGAAACAGAACTTTAGAACAAATTCACCTTTCTTGTTTACACTATGTAAGATTTTATGGTCGACAGATGTTTTGCTGTCAAAAAGTTTGTCTCGAATATAGATAGCGAAATCGCTAGACATTTTCTAAAAGATAAATTTTTAATTTTCTAAAAATATGTTAGAAAAAAAGTTTGCTGACATTGACAAGAAATTTGAGAATGTTTTAAACAAGAACAAGAGGAAGTTAGAAATGCTCAGATAAAACCCATACATGACAAGTTCCTATTTGCTCAGAATGGTATAACAGGTCTAATCGCACCACCTGGGTCGGGTAAGACTTTCACTTATCTTAAAATGGCTGCACAACAACAAGAACTAGATGAGAAGAACCCATTCTATGAGTTAGTAGTCATTTGTAGTACTTCTGGTCAATTTGACCAAACGTCAATTCGTTCAAAGATATTATAAAGAAGTCTAAGTTAGTATGTATAAAAGACTCTGAGTTGTTAGATTGGTAAAGAAGTACCAAAGAAGAGTTTTGAAGTATAATGCTATAAATGAGTATATAAATTCGAAGTTTAAAGACCCAAATGAGGAAATGCAGAGAATATTAGAGAAGAAACACTTCAGAAACAAACAGAAAGAGATAGAATACATTTCGAAGAAATTGCAATCGTACGATTGGAAGACTTACCCTCATAGATGTCTTCTTATTTTTAGATGACTTTGCTTCTCATCCTTTGTTAAAGAACAGAGAACAAGATGATGTGTCGAATTCTTAAGAAGCTCAGACACTTTAACATCTCAGTTGTCATTTGTGTACAGACAGCAAAGAGTTTAAGTAAGGATGTTAAAAGAATACTTACTGATATCATACTTTTCCCTGGATTTGTCCGAAGACGATTTCATGGAACTTATGAAAGTCCATGGCAGGTAAGTTTGACAGACATGAACTATGGGAGAAGTACAAAGTCATACAAGACCCTCATACTTCTTTCAGAATTCATATCTACGCAAACAAAGTTCAAATTGTAAAAAGTCAAGCTTGAAAATGTAAGTGTTTTAGTCTTAGTCTGTTGTGGTGCTGGGGCTGTCGGTTCTTCTGGCTTTGGAATGGACTCGGTTGGTGGTACGTCGGACATTGTCTTGAAACAATAAAAGACTTGTCTTGAAAAAGTAAAAGACTTGTCTTGAAACAATAAAAGACTTGTCTTGAAAAAGTAAAAGACTTGTCTTGAAAAAGTAAAAGACTTGTCTTGAAAAAGTAAAAGACTTGTCTTGAAAAAGTAAAAGACTTGTCTTGAAAAAGTACGGGTATCGTCTTAAATCAAGACCACTGTTCTCAAATTTGAGAACTTTACACCAAAAATTTCTTGAAAAATAACGGGTCTTGTCTTGAAAAAGTAAAAGACTTGTCTTGAAAAAGTAAAAGACTTGTCTTGAAAAAGTAAAAGACTTGTCTTGAAAAAGTAAAAGACTTGTCTTGAAAAAGTAAAAGACTTGTCTTGAAAAAGTAAAAGACTTGTCTTGAAACAATAAAAGACTTGTCTTGAAACAATGACCGACATAGACCCAGCAGATGAGGCAATTTACCTTATAGAGCTACCTGAGCCATCTGAAGTCAAGCGTAAAAATAAATGGTTCATTTACTCTGCTTGTTTGAAGTTGTCAAAATACTCTGTTATTTTTTCCTTTAACAATGGCAAATCTTCTTTGAATGTAAGAATTGTACAACCTTTAATATCATAGTGTGTTTGAGGTAACGTATCTTGAACTATTTGTTTAACATCTTCATTCGGTGTCATTGAAATCGGTAAGTTTTCGCGATAGAACCAATTTCTGTCAGATTTGTAAATCTTAGCAAGGTCGTAAAAGCTTTTGTTGTTTCTTCTGACTAAATGCAACATAACCATATCTCTGTCTTCTTCATTTTCCATCTCTTCAGTGTAAATCATATACTTATAGTTCTTTTCCTTTCCTTTTGGTACCGAACGTGGTATTCTTTTCTGTATGTTTTTGTCTTTTGCTTCAAGCTTGTTCTCTAGCTCTTCACGTTCTTGTCTATGAATTTCGTCAAGAAGTTTACAAACATACCAAGCATAACGAGCTGAAGCCCACATTGCTACAGCATTTACAAGAAGTCTATGTACATAATATCCTCTCAAACCATTTGGCAAATTTTGACGATTTTCGTACGGAATCTCGACCCGCGGTTTTTTACCGGTCGCAAACATATGAGGAAATTCTTCTAAAAGTTCTTTTGTCTGTTGGTTTTCAAACCAATGATGTGCTTGCTTTGTAGAACGAAGAGCATTCAAAATACTTTGCATTTGGTACATGTCATCTTTGACCGAACGAATGAGACGGAGTTGTTTGTTAAACTGAACCCACTCATATTCTTCATTTATAGCTTCATGGACTATAACTGTTGTTGTGTTCTCTGTTGTTGACATATCTGTTTCTTATATACAGGATAAAAAAATATTTTATAAAAAACTAACTTTATTTTTTCTATCTTAAGGAAATTCATGATTTCATAGAGTTTTGGCGACCCCGAAGGAAGTCGGTCTAGAGAAATTTCACTGTTTTTCGTACGGAATCTCTATCCTCGGTTTTTCGAGGGAAGCAATCTTATGCCATTTTACTCAGAATTTTGTTGCTGAATTCAGCAAAAATATATTTTAGGGTAGAAGGTTAGATCTAACCTGTCTTCTACCCTCTTTTCTACCCCAGTTATTTTATAAGCGTTTTACATGGTAAACGTTATTTTTACATGTATTTTTCAGCAACTTCGTCAAATAATTTTATAGCTTTATCTATCTCATCTACTTCAAACGTTTCTTTACCTTTTATGGGAGCACCATACATTTTCTCAAACTTTTCAAGTAGTTCTGTTTCTGCAGCTCTCATATCATTAACCAACACAACCTTGACTCTATTGACTGTACTGTCATATCTTAGAGTTATATTATATGTTCTTCCTATCTTATATCTCTTTGTATTGAAGTCCTTCGGTTTCTGAACGATGTAAAGTAAGCCTTCACTGCAACGTTCCGTATCGAATGAACCATATGTTATGAAGTTATATCCAACAACTGGGTCTAACCATAACAAAACTATTGGTATAAGACTTTTGTCTATAAGATATGCTGCAGTTCCATAGAATTTTACCGATATCATAAGCTCAGGATTTCTTGTCAAAATTTTCTGAGTAGAAGCAATTTTAACCCAGTGGTTTGTTTTTTTTCCAAATGGAGATAAAATGTCTGACAAAGAATATTTGTTGTATTTCTTTGAGTATCTTACGTTTAAATCACCTATTCTAACCACTTTGGTGTCATTGTCTATCTTTCCAACTGTTTCAAACTCATTGTTTGTCATTTCTTTCTTTAAATCTGCATAGTCGTTTCTCATTCTTTCTATCTCTTTGACGGAGTAGTTATATTTCCTCATTGCTGCTTTACATTTTGAACATTGTGGGTTCATTTTAGCATTGTACATTGAAATCTTACCTGCTAGTATGACTAAGGCGTCAATTGCTCTCTTTAACTCAAAAGTTGCGGGTTTTATCTGTTCATTCCATATCTTACCTCTTCTATCTTTATCTCTTATCTGCCATACACATTTTGCAACTAACGAAACAAAGTTGTCGTAGGTCTTAAATTCTTCAGATTTATATATGTCAGAGATGTTCTTATATACCATGTCGCAATCTTTGTCCATAACTTTATGGTTGCAATGAAATCCTAGAAACTCATAGTTTACCTTTCGTATGAACTTCTTTATTTCTACTGAGTCAGTTGCTTTGACTTCTATTTCATCGAATTCAGGAATAGTAAGCTTTTGTTGTTGTATTTCAGGAAGTTTAGGTAAATGGTCAATAATATCCTGCATTTCATAAAGATACTGTTCATTTGTTTCATCTTTCGCACTACAGTCTAAACTACCTGTTAACAATTCCTGCTTTATCTTCTGGATTTCTGTTTCGAAAGTATATGAAGAAGGAATGAAGCTTTTCATCTCTACTAACATAGATGTTGGATTCATGACTAAAGAGTTTGGTGCTGTTGTTGTTTGAATTGTTGTTGTGCCGATTGTTGACATTTTTATTTTTTTATACAAAATAAAAAAAATAAATAAAATAAAGTTAGTTTTATTTTTTATTTCGGGAAAATTCATGAAAATTCAAGAGGGTAGAAAAGAGGGTAGAAGACAGGTTAGATCTAACCTTCTACCCTAAATTATATTTTTGGGTCCTTTACACTCATTACGATGAAGAAGTCTTGACAAAACATTTATGAAGAAGTCTTGACAAAACATTTACGAAGAAGTTTCGACAAAACATTTACGATGAATTTTCATGAATTTTCATGAAAATTCAAGAGGGTAGAAAAGAGGGTAGAAGACAGGTTAGATCTAACCTTCTACCCTAAAATATATTTTTGCCGAATTTAGCAAAAATAAATGGTTCATTTACTCACAATATTTTTGTACAAAACGACCCCAAACTTTTAACTTCTTTTCTGCAGCTTCTAATGCTATCTTGGCGAGTTCATATTCTCTAAATTCTCTCTTTAAATCTTCTTGTTCCCATTGGTCTAGTTCGTATGGCGAGTCTCTATAACCAGAACATATCTCACGTTCATGTTCTATTTGTTTTTCATGCATTTTTCTAACTTCTTGTTCGAACAAAGGTTTTGCATTCTCTACTGTATCTTCAAGTTCTTCTTCATCTAATTTCTCATGAACTTTCTTGTCTATGGAGTCCATAATTTTTCCAACTGCTATGCAATATTTTGGAGAAGCCCACATTGCTATATAGTTTACAAGTCTTGGGTCTACATACATTCCTCTAACCTGTTTGATTTCATCAGGAATTCCTGCATGAATTTTGTATAAAAAGCAACCCGCTGTTTTCCGCGGGTTGGTATATTCTTCACAAAATGCCTTATAATACTCTTCCCAGGACTTATTTTCCAACAACCTTCTAAAGTCTTTCCTAAACTGCTGACATATCTTTGTTGCATTTACATAACCATCCTTGTCTCTACGTAAGACTTCAATACCGTTGTAAGTGCCTTTTGTGAATGTTTCGCCATTAGATTTGTTCGTGAACGTTTTTGCTTCGACTGTCATACTGTTCTTACAATAAAAATAAAAAAATATTTTTTGGTGGGATGTCGGACATTCGTTTGTGGCTTAACCGTCGGACCACAACGATAAAAATCTCTGCTACTAGCAGTACTGCTACTGACAGTAGCAGTACTTTTTCTGACAGTAGCAGTACTTTTACTGACAGTAGCAGTACTTTTTCTGACAGTAGCAGTACTTTTTCTGACAGTAGCAGTACTTTTACTGACAGTAGCAGTACTTTATCGTCGAAAACCCTCTCAAATTTTCCTTTTTTCTGCTCCTAGCAGTACTTTTACTGTCAGTAGCAGTACTTTTACTGACAGTAGCAGTACTTTTACTGACAGTAGCAGTACTTTTTCTGACAGTAGCAGTACTTTTACTGACAGTAGCAGTACTTTTACTGACAGTAGCAATGGTCGAGGTCGAACCTACCGACGAGGCAATTTACCTAATTGAAATTAACGAGCTTGTTAAAGACTTCCTCAGGCAGAATGTAAAAGGCAAGCTTGTTAGCGGTTGGATAACGGGAAGGGCTGCCTTGAATCTCGAGACTTCGACCGGAATTCCAATTCAAATACCAGAAAACACTCCTTTCGACGACATAAAGCAAGCAAAGAAGGAAGCCATTATAAAGTTCTTTGCCAAGCGTCCTTGGATACTACTTCCAAACAGAGAGAACCCTTTCCCAAGAATTCCCCACATTTAAATTCAAATTCGAATAAAAATTTTTTATTTCATGCAATGTTTTATTTCTGTGCCGTCTTCAAGTATGCCCCAGTACTTCCTTTTCGATATTACATGAACTTCGGTGAAAATTTTGTCCAATTTGAATTGACCCATCTTCTCACCGACTAAACCCATTTCAATGAGTTTGTTGTACCCTTCTTCGTTCGTCATGAGTGCGTCAATGTTCTCATAGTAAACCACAACTTTCGATTTGACTTCGGAGAAGAATTTGTTGTAGTTGTCAAGGACTGCCTTTGCGAACTGAGGGTAAGACCAATGTTCGACAATAGGTTTTAATGTGGTTACTAAGCCACTTTGACCTTGAGTGAATTCGTACTTCAAAACAAAAGGAGAAAACCTTTCAACAAAGTTGTCGACCTTCTCATAATGTTTACTCTTCATCTCTTGAGGTTTCTTAATGGAATATCCCCATGTCGAATTCATAAGCAATTTGAGTGTCATTGCAAGTTTGGGGTTTGAAGCTTTCCTAATATCATAGAGTTGTTGTATGACTTTTCCAACTGTATAGTTCCTTCCTGGGAACTCACCGTCTTCGTTTGGAATTCCAGTCGGGATATATTGGACGAACCTCATGTATGCAGCGTTAAGGTCGACATAGTATATCTTTTCGTTTGAGTCGAACTTGTCGCAACCAATGGGTCCAGTTCGTGGAAATTCAAGTGAGTCTCTTATCTTCTGAGAAACTTCGCCTGCTATCTCATAAACATCGTCGAAGCAACCTGTTTCATATAAAACCTTCTGACCTAACTCCGATGCTCTCCAATACAATTTGACGTCAATTGGATGTCTCAATGGAAGTTTGTTTATAGCATCTTGAAGTTCTTGCAACCTCATTGGAAGTTCTTCTGGTTCAGGTTGGTATCCGAACAATCCAACTCCTTTTGGAACAGTGTACTTCTTTTGTGCTATAACTTTGTCTGGAACAACTTTTGGTCTTGCTAACAATGAAAAGTTTGTTTCGTCTTTTGGTACAAAAGTTTCTGTCAGCTTGTCATCTGGAATTGGTTCCAACAAACCTTTCTCGAAAAGAATGTTTACAGCTCTGACAATGTTGCACTTGCCTTTTCCGAACAATGGGTTTGTAAGACTTTCGTTCAACATGAAGTGGTTGTGGACAATTACAATCTTCAACCATGGTAAGTCTTTGTCAACAACATAGTCGTCATGTGAAGAACCTTTAGCTGTAGGTATGTTGACTCGGATATTGACATTTGCCAACGGTGCAACTTTTGCCAATTGACCTCTGAGAATGTACCTTGTCTTCACACATGACTCAAGATACTTCATCTTCTCATCTGTAACAAGACCAGAGTTCCTGAGACATGTAAGAATACAAGGTTCGTTGACAATTGTTTCAATTGAATTGTAAATTCCATACCTTGTCAAGTCAATGTCAGACTTATTTATGAACGGAAAGTATCCAGCATGTTGTCTGACTGCTTGAGGGTTAGGTTGGTACCATTCGAACTTGACACTTACAATTCCTTCAATTGCATTCAAAATGTCTGAGTCGGAGTCAACCATTTGTTCTCTCTTTGTAGTCTTGAAAGCGTCAAGAAGTTTTGCAGCTGTTTGTTCATTGCCATTTGCATAGTAAATGTGACCATCCAAATCTGTTACGGTTAGTCTGAGATTGTATCCTTTCTTATTTCCGTCTTGTATGGCAGCAAGTACTCCCATGAAGCCTTCTTTGTTCTTTCCTTCGTCAAAGTTTACTGTAAAGGTTCGACCAGATGTAATTTGACTTCTAACTTCACGATACTTCTCATATGCATATCTTGTTCTTTCCATGGGAGCATGACCATCCTCTGCACTACCTTTTTTCCTTCTCAAAGGATGCAATTGTTCGTCATGTTTCCAGTAGAATCTGGCAAAGCCGTCGTGTCCTTCAACTTGAGGTTCACTAACATCGAAAGGCATGTCCATAAGACGTTCTTCTTCTAACCTCTCTAGTCTGTTTGGATAATTTGCACGTGCTGTTTCCAAATCCATTTCGTAGGTCAGACCAGCCAGTTTGTCATAGACTTTTATGGGTCTTCCCTTCCTATATTTAAAATTCTTCGAAACTCTCCAACCATATCTTTGCAACTCTGCTTTTATTCTAGCAGACTTTCTATCCATTCTATGCGGGGGCATTTTTATAAAAATAAAAAAAATATTTTTTTCTTTACTTTACATAACCGCCTGCTACCATAAGCCTTTGACGCCAACCCATACCAGCTAATGAAGGTTGACTTGGTTTAGTTTCCAAACTAAACTTTGGTTTTGGTTTATCTTCAGTTTTTGGTTTTTCTTCTTCTATCGGTTTTTCGTCACTTTTCGGTTCCTCTGACTTTACTTCACTTGCAGGAACAGTTGTGTCGTCAACATCTTCATAAATATCATATGCCATTTGTTTTTGTTTTCCTTTCAACTTTTTGTGTTTGTTGTAAAGTTTAGAATATTTCGACTCTAAGTCAATGAGATGTTCTATAATGAACTGTTTGTCAGTGAAGTAAACTTTTCCATCTGTTGTCTCGAAAGCTCCTTCAGACTTCAATATTTTATTTGTGAGAGTCTGTTTCTTTTTTGAGATACTAGCCGTTCCATTTCTATGAAAAGTGACTTTATAGTTAGGGTTTGTATTTCCAGACCTGGCACTTTCTATTATTGAATTTTCTCTTCATCTGTAAGTTCTTTGACAGGTTTTGACAATGGTTCTGAACTTTTTGTTTGTGGTGTCAAATCTACCGTTTCAACTTCTTCGGTCATTTCATCTCAGTAAAAAATTTTAGTTTGGTTTGTTTTCAACTGGTTGTTGTTGTTTTTTAAGTCGGTCTAAAACTTCCTGAGGTATAGGAAGAACTTGACAAACACGTTGTGTAACTGCTGGAAGTCGACAAATCCATCTTGAACCCATTTGTCTCAATGCTGTATTGTTCATTTCATCTCAGTAAAAAACTTTACATTCCCCACGTTTGAGGCGGTTGAGGTTGGTTATTGTTTACCCATTGTTGTGCATGGTTATATCCTCTGTTAAAGAATCTTTCACCTTGGTCCATATAGTGCCCTGCTTGGTTATAGTAGTCATTTGCTTTGTTATAATAGTTTCCTGCTTCTCTTCCTACATTGTCCATCCATCCTTGAACTTTTCCTCTTGTTTCAGGATTTGGAATAAGATTTGTTGCATCTCGTGCTACCTCCCAACCTTTCTGTACAGTTTGTATAATAGGTTGTGCTTTCTCTTTAAGTATACCTAATGTACTCAAAATCTTCCTTCCAATTCCAAATGCACCTCTGGCTATTGTTCCCACTGCGGGCAAAAATCTGGATGCAACTCCTGCTAATGCGCCAAATAAACCCATTTCTTATGGGTTAAAAAATGACGAATCCAAACAAGGACCCCTATGTTTCTAAAGCAACAAAGAAAGCACTCATGATAAAATCTTTAGTTCAACACCAAATGCTTGGTTTATGGATATCTTGGAAAACATTCCGAGGTATAGAGAAGATGGACCACCATACTGGCTAATATTTGTTGGTCAAAACACAAGATACTGTGAAGCCATACCATTGCAGTCCAAAAATATTTTAGATGTGAAAACTGCTTTGACAATATTCGTTGACAAATACCATCCAACAAAACTGACATCTGACTGTGAAAGTTCTTTCAAATCAGACGATATTAAAAACTATCTGCGTTCAAAAAATGTAAACCAATATTTCATTGTCGACCAAAACCATTCTGCTCTTGGTGTCATTGACAGTTGTATAAAAATCTTAAGAGACTTAAACCAACCACAAGGTGGTGAAGCAAATGAAATGTCATATGACGACAAGTATAGACATTTCTCCATGGCAAAGATGAGACAAGTTTTAAATATTTACAATAGCCGTAAACAAAAAGGTTTGGGAAACCACTCCCCCGAAGAAATGAAAAACAACCCTGACTTAGAGAAAGACTATATATTTAATAGTTTAGTCAAAAGAGACAAACAAGAAAGAATGCCAGGCTTCAAACTTAAGAAAGGCGACAAAGTAAAAATAGAAATACCTAAACGCGACCCATATGAAAATACTATTGACTATGACAACAATGGGAACTCGACAGGTACTCGCATTCGTGTTCGTAAAAATAGAAGAAAGTATACAAGAGAATATTATGAAGTTTTAGGCAAACATGGCAAAATGTACACACTGCAAGCAGAAGATAAAACTACTATTGTCAGACCTCGTTTCAAACTTGTCAAAGTTCAAGGTGGTATACTTTCAAAGACAGTTCCTAACAAATATAAGACAACTCCTGACGAATATGCTAAAGAAGTTGAAAATGACGACTAAGCAATTCTATACCATGCGTAAACTGTCATGTAAGGTGGCATGTACTTTACTTTGTCCCGTTGTTTGTGTATATCCTGAAACGAAATGTGTATGGTTTCCTTCTCCCTGAGTGTCACTCAGTAACAATTTATAGCAAACTTAACGTCGTCTTTAACATCATATCCTTTACCTTTTGTCATTCCTGACCAATCCCAATATCTATGCCTATGCCAACCTGCTTGAGATGTACTTAAATCTATGTAGTGACTGTGCGCAGGTAAATTTTCACCTGAAATCGTTTTACTTCCTCCTGTTTCCTTTGAAGAGTTTGCACAATACAAAAACCTGTCAACTATTTGTTCCCATGCACCAACACCAAACATTACTTGAGGACCTCTTGCTTCCATAGATGTATAAATAGAACCTACTGGGTTCATTAAATCAAACATATGAGACATTATAGGATTGTCTCTTTTGAACTTAAAATATAGTGCAACTATTTCAGGTTTCTTCTGGTTTAAGTCAGAATATTTTTTATAATATAATCTTATGTTTTCAGGGTAGGTAAAGTCTTGACTATAATATTTGTTTCTGTCATCTTCATAATAGTATACTATTCTCGTTTTTTCTATTGCATTATATCTTTTATATCTATAATAATCTAAATATAATGTTAGCTTTTGTTCATCTACATGTGGTGTTCTAACGTCATCTCCATAGTCATAATAGTATGGTGCTGGAGCTGGGTCAGGCAATGTCATATCTGTCATTTCATAAACTCTTAAATATTTCTTTTGTTCGTCTCCATAGAAGTTTAAGTAGCAGTTGTTGTCTAATGGAACTTTAACTTGTGTACCATCGTTCTTTTTATAGCTTACATACATTTCATTGTTATTTTTCGGAATGAGTTTATACCGTGTACCATTTTCTAAGGACTGTACAAACTCCCATCTAAAATATTTGTTTTCTTCATTGACAGAAAAGTCGCCAACAATAGTTTCAATATTTTTTGTTCCAACTAAACTTTGGTATATTTCGTTAACATATGTTTTATCTGCTTTATTTTCAAGGCTAACGTTTAAGTCTGTTATTTCAGAAGATGTATGTGTATGTCCAACGGCACTTTTCCTGTTTAAGGTTTCTTGTAAGTTTGTAATATTTGCAATGGTATGTGTATGTCCAACGTCACTTTTCCTGTTTAAGGTTTCTTGTAAGTTTGTTATTTCAGATATAGAATGTGTATGAGTCTTTTTAGAATATTCGTTTTCAGCTCTTGTCACTTCACTTGACATTTTATTGTCAACATATGTTTTGTCTGCTAGTTCAGGATGAGTATGTTCTTTTGTTGCATAAGCTTTGTTAGCTCTTTCTTCTTCTTTTGCTATTGCATCGTCTACATATTCTTTGTCAGCTTTGTTGCCAACATCTGCTTTCAAAAGAAGTTCATTTATAGGTTTCTCGTTTAAAGTTCCTTTTGTTGGATTTATACAGACAGTATGGTTCTTATTGTCTTGAAACAGAAACTCATCTGTCATTGGGTTTAATGTCAGTTTTAAGTTTCCTTCTTTCAATGACTCAGATATCTTAGAATAGTTTGAAAAGTTTGTTGTGTTCTTATTTAGAGCTTGTATAATGAGTTGTCGGTTGTGTTGTATTTCTCTCATAGACGCTGTTTCATTTGACATTTTTATTCTAGATAAAATATGCTTCCAATAGAAAAAGAAAATTCAAGAGTTGCTACAACTAAACCATTAGATGAACTTTTTACGAATGTCGGTCAAAAGTTTGAGACAGAGACCGTAAAGCATGAAGGCTATCGTTTTGACTACCCATTAAGATGGCTAAGAGACCCATCTGTCACAAAAGCTATTGGCTTTCGTAGAATGAAGTTTGTGTCTGTAGAAGATAAAAGTTTTCCATTTATTGTAAGGTTTCATATAGATTATATATCTGAAGGGAAACGAAAAATGTGGGAAGAAATTGAGCTAATACAAGTTGACCTTTCATCTTCTCTACAGACTGCGTTAAAAAATATAGAAGATAAAATAAATTCATGTTATGCAAAATATGCTGATGAATATGCAAATACCGAGAGCACACTTTATGTGAGAATTGTATATGACAAACAAAATTCACAAGTGTCATTTCAAATCTACGAAGACAATCCAAAGAAAGACGAACAAATATATACAGAATTCACTGCAATGTCATGGTATTATTTGCAAAGAATGTTAAATCAGAAAGTCGAACTTCCTTTAGCAAATATTTACAGTCGATATGCAAGAGATGAACCATATTTATTTAAAGATGTTTTCGACCCAGCTGCTATTATTGTTCATGCTTCATTTTCTGGCGCCCAAAACTCTTTCTTATGCTTGGCAAATGACTTTTACGAAAAACCTACAAAGCTATATGAACCACCAAGTGGAAGTATTTCAGACTTTCAAGTATGGTTTACTACAGATGGAAGAAAAAGAATAATTCCATTATACCATGCGTTTTACTTAGAACTTAGTTTCATATACAACTACTATCGAACGGTAAAAATATAATTTTAATACGGTTGAGGTGTTGGATTTGGTTGCCAACTTGACTGTGGTGCAGGTTCAGGCTGTTGTATAACAGGAGCTTGTTCTTCTGGTTCAGGGTCTTTAGGTATAATACCAACAAACTGACCTACTCTTTTACCAATATTTTTGACTCCGTTCCAAATTCCTCTTCCTACGGTTTTTATTCCATTCCATATACCTCTTCCGACATTTCGAAAGAAGTTTCCTATCTTACTGAAGAAACCCATTTTACTATATGTAAAAATCTAATGTCCACCTAGTCTCTTACGTTTCCTGTTGAGTTCCATAGCATTCTTTAACTGGAGCTCATACATTCTGTTTCTCCTCTGGTAGAAAACATACTCTGGGTCAACTCCTGTGTTCGCGTCATCTGCATAGAGTTGTTTATATCCCACTTCAGGGTTTGTATAAAACTCTTTCCATCTCATATTTGCATACCATGGTGGCAAACCTAACGCAGCGTCATTTGACATGGCAGTTTGCATTTGTACATCTGTTGGCACTTGACCATAGTTTGCCATTGCAGTTTGTATTCTAACTTCATTTGGAATATTCTCTGGGTTTGGTTGTCCAGGTTGCTGTGCATTCGCTAAGTTCTGTGCGTCCATTTAATATTAGATAAAAATATCTCTTACGAGTACATATACTGAACATTTGCAGGCATTGGTTCATCTTCATATTCTCTATATCTTTCTGCCACGTCAAATAAGTAAATGACACAATGGAAAAAACCTAAAACAAGTAGTCCTATTTCAAACCACATTTACTTACTAGTAAAATTTCTTTGTTATGACACTTTCTCCAGTTTATAGGACCTCTCTCATATTCTATCTTATCGTATCTAAACTCATAGTCATGTATGTCCTCTAACCATCTCATGACACTTTCCAAACCACTTTTATCGGATGTAAAGTAAAAGCATGGATGGTTATGTAAAACGTCTAAAGTTTCTAAAGAGTCTCTCAAAGTCCAGTCTACTTGGTATTGAAAATCCCATGTGTTATAGAACGGCGGGTCCACTATAAAGAAAACATTTTCCTTGTCTTTATATTTTTCATACAACTCTGTCCAATGACATCTCACAAACTCTATACCCTCAATATATTTTTCTATGTTCTCTTTGAAAACATTTGTATAGTTAAGATATAAAACTTTTGACATAAGTGTTTCAATGTCATGAACTCTTATAGCACCACTATATAATAGTCTAGCAGATATACTATCCCAGTCAATATACTCTGCCTTTTTCAAAACCTCTCTGACAGTATTTTTCTTATCTAATGGTATACGTTCCATCTTACCTATAGGTATCTTTTCTTTTAACGCTTTCAATATATTGTTTGTGTCTGGAATATGTTTGAGACGGTCCATATAGTTGTCGAAGTCATTGCATATAATCTTTGAGTCAGGAAATATTGTATGGCACAAATGAGATATATAGAAACTTCCACCGAACAAGTCTACAAATGTTAGACCATTCGGTAGTTTCTTAAGTTCTCTCAATAGAATATCTTTACATCTACTCTTATTTCCAAAGAAGGGTAACGGTGGTTTTGTAAAATTCATTTTATATATATAATAAAAATGTTTTTACCTGAAAAGTGACAGAAAAGTGACAAAACATGAAAACATATATAATTTGTGAAAAGCGACACATTATATAATGTTTTCGACCCAGAAGAAGGCTTCTTCCCAGAAGCAATGGAGGAAGAAGAAGAGTCCTCCGAATAAAAACTTCATTTATACTAAACATCAACATCAGGGCTAGAAGGCACGAAGTGCCTGGAAGCCCCACTACCTTTTTTTTTTTTTTTTTTTTTTTTTTTTTGTCATATCATTTATTAGTGGTTTACAGAGTGATTTGACTTAAAATAGAATTGATTTGGGGAATAATTGCAAATAAGCGTGTAATTATTCTATCACATTGGATAACCTATCTTAATGTTATATTTTGGACGAATTTTAATTGTCACAGAAATTGAAAGCAATTATATTTGCGGGAAGATTTGAATGGATATTTCGGTTGGCGGGGAAATTTGAAAGAAAAGGAGGCGCCAAAAAAGGTGCCATTTTTCATTTGGTTTTCTCTCTCGAGCAGCCAAGAAAATCTTCATTATTAATTGCACCGCACAACATGCAATGACAAAACATGAAGAAAAGAGTTGGTTTCGAAGAGCTAGCCAAAGAATATTTCATTGATCTCCTGAGCTATTTCTTTCTTAGTTATTACATCGCACAACATGTAATGATGATAAGTGTAGTAAGAAATAGTTTCTGATGATCAATAGCATTAAGGCTCAACACTAATTCCCCGCAGCTGTTTGTGCTTTCAAACTAGAGACGCCTTCGATACTTTCCATTGACTCTTACCGGTTATCTCACCCCTGTCTCTCTTACTTTTGAGTCTATTCAGATTCATTTTTGCAATCCCAACACTTATTGTATACCACTACTTCTTGATCCAGCAAAGGTGTCGGATGTGATTTTACTCGTAAAGGGCAAAGCTTTCCCGCCAAATCGCAAGTTTCATAATCTCATGGTGGACCATAGCTGGAGTCACCGCCGATAATCTACTTGCTGAGATGCTACGCAGCCTTTGGTCTGGCCAATCATAGTGCTGCTCCATCCACATCAGCAAGTGATTTCGGCATCAGATCTCCGCTTAGTCTACCATGAGAGTTCTGCAAGCCAGAAGCGCAATATCTATGCAGCCTAGCTGCAACGGTATAGTAGAATTACTCGAATGAGGCAAAGTCCTTCCGAAGTCTCGCATTTGATGAGAGACCTCGGAAGGACTTTGCCTTATAATACTCTTACTATGGCTCCCTAGTCCCCAAATGGCTAGGGATTGTGTAATTAATCGGATATGGCAAGCTGCTCTAAAGTTTCTTTCTCATCATATGGGAGACTTCAGCAGAACTTTGCCCTAAGGTAATGTTGTTGTGGTAGGTGGTTCACAAAGAGCGAGAGAACATGTATGTAATTCATTTATGCTGAAGATATCTGGATGTCTTTCAAAAGAATAATGAAATCTAGAATTCTTCAGCATAAATTGATGCAGATGTGGTTCTCTGGATCTTTACTGGCCAGAATGCATATAAAAAGTTTCAATATAGTTAAAATAAAAAGTTATTAATACATTTCTTATTAATTGTAGAAACTTTTTACTTATATGTTAACTGATATTTCATATCAGCATGGTATCATGTTTTCATAGCGGAGATCTATCTATTTTATTATTATTAAAATAAATAGATTTAAACAAAGCTTTTGAACGGAATCATCGCAAGAAATGAATACAACAGAATTTGATAAGTTAATTCTATGATTTAATCTGTTAATATTTTCAGTTTTACATGGAGAAATTGAAAATTGAATCACAAATTTTCCAAAAAAAATTCAAATTTAAAATTTTGGATGTAATAAATTAGAGATTTTTCATCATTTTCTCGATTTTGAAAAAAATTTGGAAAACTAGCATTACTTCTGATTCAAGCACAACTTCAGGGGGAGTGAATATGTGACAACGCCGAGCTTATTTGCCCATATTTTTATAAAAATTCCAAATTCACAATTCAAGCAACTTAACATATAGAAAAGTCTTTGAATTTTGAATTCTCATATGAACAATGTTTTACATTTAATACATCGAGCTCAAAATGGCATAATCAAATTTTCAATTTCAATTTAGCAAAAGAATTACTTAGTGGGTTTGCATTATAATCACATAAATTACAGTGTGAATATGATTATCACTACGTAAATACTACAATTTTAGCATTAACTACATTATTTCAAATAAAAATTTGAACGCTATGAAGAATGACTCTAGTTTCAACGCTAATAAGCTTTATACCGTTTTACAATTGATCATCTTAATGATTCTGTATTAAAAATTTCAGTAAATAAGGGAAGATTTTGAAATTGTGACCGACAATTGTGTAATATGAACGCTTATTTTCGAAAGATGTAATCTGTTTAATCATTAGTGAGAAAGGGATTCAAATTGAAAATATGGTTCAGGAATTAAAATATAATATTTTAATTAATAAAAAAAAATTATAATAAAAAAAATGATATTGAATTACAAGGTGATTGTGGGATACATCTCGACAGAGGCAACATTCGATATGAAAGTTTCCTCTGTCGAGAAACTTCCTCACACCTCAAGAGATGCGAAGAACTTTTGACAGGCAAAGTGCAATATTGATAGGTGATTGCACTTTGCCTGTCACATACATCTCGACAGAGGCAACATTCGATATGAAAGTTTCCTCTGTCGAGAAACTTCCTCACACCTCAAGAGATGCGAAGAACTTTTGACAGGCAAAGTGCAATATTGATAGGTGATTGCACTTTGCCTGTCACATACATCTCGACAGAGGCAACATTCGATATGAAAGTTTCCTCTGTCGAGAAACTTCCTCACACCTCAAGAGATGCGAAGAACTTTTGACAGGCAAAGTGCAATATTGATAGGTGATTGCACTTTGCCTGTCACATACATCTCGACAGAGGCAACATTCGATATGAAAGTTTCCTCTGTCGAGAAACTTCCTCACACCTCAAGAGATGCGAAGAACTTTTGACAGGCAAAGTGCAATATTGATAGGTCATTTCATTTCATTATTATATAAGCATCATAGTTAACAACTAGTACATTTTATTATATCCTCATGATTTTTTTTTGAGATTTTGAATTAAAAATTAAGTTTTGATAAGGTCATTGTGGGTTTCAAAGAGAACAATGAATGATGATTAATTTCAAAAGCAATAATAAGTCATTGAAAAATTAAGAGTAAAAAAATGGAACAAAAACATATGCGTCTATTAAATGCTATTGTTAGATCTTCCTCTCACTACAGACTTCAATCTTACTCTCACTACAAACTTCAATCTTCCTCTCACTACAGACTTAGATCTTCCTCTCACTACAGACTTAAATCTTCCTCTCACTACAGACTTAGATCTTCCTCTCACTACAGACTTAGATCTTCCGATGTCAAGACTTAAATCTTCCTCTCACTACAGACTTAAATCTTCCTCTCACTACAGACTTAGATCTTCCTCTCACTACAGACTTAGATCTTCCGATGTCAAGACTTAAATCTTCCTCTCACTACAGACTTAAATCTTCCTCTCACTACAGACTTAGATCTTCCGATGTCAAGACTTAAATCTTCCTCTCACTACAGACTTAGATCCCGATCCAATTGATGATATAAAGATTTATAATACTGAAATTGAGACAAATTAATAAATTCAATGTGTTTTTTTTGAAATAACTCTCAAATATTCTTTTTTTGTTTATTTAATGATGAATAAATATGATTGCTTTAATCAATCATAAAAACTAATTTAAGTTTAAAATAATGAAAGGATAATTTGATCGTTTTTTAAAATACAATTATTTTTGATGATTTGCAAGAATCTTTGAAAAGAATATAATATAGGTTCTATTTTTGTAAAATTTATCCAAATCATGTATTACATAAATTACGATTAAAACGATGAAAGAACCAAAAAGTGTGTTTTGTGTTTTGTTGTTGCGTGTTGGATGCGGGATCCTGTTATTTCCGAAATCGACAAAAAATTTGGAAATTTAATTTCCGAAATCGAAATTATATTAATGTTTTTAATATTCTTATATCAAAAGGATTAAAGTTCATTAAGAGAAAAACAATTCTTCTTCTTCAATCTATTGGCGCATTTATTTCTACACGCCAATAACGAAGGGAAAATTATAAGACACCATGGTGTCTTCAAAACGCTAATTTTTGATATTTTTAACAACCCTATCATTTCAAATAGATTTATTGATCTGTTTAAAAGATGTTTTGAGATTCTAATACTATAACATTATTCTATTTTATATATAATATTGTATTGAAAGTATATTTATGATATAAATTTAAGATTGCATTATGGCAATTTTGCTAAGATAAATGTAAACCAAAAATGATATATTGATACACTATACATTATCTCAAGAATAAAAATCTTATGGAAAATGGTCTTATATGCACAGTTACATTTCGGATCTTTAAATTGCTAATAATGATAGAATTTTTCACAAGGATATACATTGTTGATGTGCATTAGTAAGTGGCAACACATCAAATGATCTGCTTTCGAATAACGACTCAGATAACCTTGATGATTTGGTTCAAGATGTACTCCAACAGAATCTGATCAATACAGTGAGTTTCGCAAAGCAAAATATGATAGTTTTAAATTAAAACAAGATGAAAGAAAGATAAATAAAAATAATTATAACAAATTATTAATATAAAAGTCGAATTAAGCCTTAATCTTAAAGGCAAGCTTCGAAGCAGATGATCTAACCCTAAGAACCTTTCTAAGATTATGAATGTGATGGAATCTTCTTGCAATAACCGGATCTTTCTTATTTGCTGCAAGAACCTTAACAGAGTTAGTAATGTTGAACTCTGCAGCATCAATTATTTGTATTAAATTGAGATATTGCCTTGGAACCGTCGCAATTGAGAAAAGAAAGCCCATTTGCGAAGATTTATCATCAATTGGATCGGGATCCACAAATTTTAGGGCCGATTTGTAAACGATCTTGATGATATCGATGTAACAAGGAATATCAACAATTTTTATCGAATTTACAAGATGCCTGTGGAAATCTCCTTCGACGAAGAAGATCTTTGCAAAGCTCTTATCGTCATTCAACAAAAATCTGCATAAAATCTTGTAAGCGCAATGGACAATATAATTATCCGAAGAAGAAAGAAGAGACATGATGAAATAAGAGTTCTTTTCATCACAGAAGAATTCGCCGTAGCGGGGGTCCGAAGCTAAAGAAGCAACGGCGTCTACAGTTAAATGAGTGAATTTCTTGGAATTCGGGATAGAAAGAAGGTTCTCAAGCATGGAGAGTAACAATGATGACGAGTTCTTTATGAATTTCGTCCAATGGTCGGAGTTTGCTGTGTAATTCAGCTTCCGATATCTCATAACAAGTTTTACGAGTTTATTCGTCAAAAGGACGTACTCGAAATCACAGTTTGTCTTGATATGAGCACAGAGATTCGAAATCAGGATGATCAGACCGTCACATTTCTTATAGAAATTTGATGGCAAGATATCTCCACCGCAATAGCACAGATTGGTGAAGAATCGGGCCATCTTCTTGACGTACTCTATGTTGGTCTCGAAATCAAAGAAAAGACGATCAAATAACAACGAACAAATTTGTTTTCTCGAGCAAATCCTGTAAATTACGTTGTTCTTGAGATGAGGTGCTTTCTTGAACAGCTTGGAAAGGAATCTGATGCTTAATCCGTTGATAAAATTCTTACATTGATTAGTTTGAAGGGAATCAGCAACAAGGAACAGGAAAACAGATATCTGGAAACTGTGTTCGTCGAAAGAATTGTTGATAATCGAGATCAATGTCTTAGAATTCTGATTGAAAAACGATGAAAGGGCAGAATCAGCTTCTTTTACGGCAGATTTGAGGTAATTCGTAAGTGGTTTGTATTTGATGGTCAATGCAATCTTAACTAAGGCACGAGAAAGAGAAACATGAGCAAATACTGAATGTGCTCGGGAAAGAAGCTTAACTGGAGTCTTTTCGGCAGCCTCAAAGGCGGGGTAATCAATGTTGACGGGCTGTACTAAGATATCTGTAAGACAAAGTAAGAATATGTATTGGTTGTATAATTTGTTAAGAATATCGAATCGTTGTGTCTCGAATTGGAAGAAGAAGAAATCCCTGAGTTCGGTTCGCATTTCTACTGAATAAGTATTTGGATTTTTGGTGAGATAATATTGAAATTGTTTGGAAGAGATTAATCCTGAAGAATTTATCTTCTGTATGAATGACCTCGGACCGATAAACTGTGTTTCTAGCGGGTAGTGGAATAAATTCTGTAGTTGTGGAGGAGTTCTTAAATTACCCGTGAAATATGGCATAGAAAGATAAGCGGATTTAAGAGCTTGTATGTGAGATGTTGATTCGCACGGAATTAAGTTCTTTTTCAAAACTTTTGCGTAGAAACTATTTGGATCTAATTCTGGATGCTTTTGCTGCTTTCTAGTGGCAGGAGCATAATTAGTTTCAAAGACTGGAGTACTTATGGCATCGCCAATAGATTTCGGAGTGAATAATTCTTGGTCTGTAAAAATTAAAGTTTTATCTTTGTTTTGTTTGTATCCTACTGTAAAACTTGGTCTGCTAACTGTATATCCGAATGAATTAAATTCAGTTGCCTTGGTGTGAACTTCCTTTTCTGTATTTTCGGCCCAAATTATCGCATCTTTATCAAATAAATCTTCCGAAGGGTAAAATTCAGGAATCGGGAAGGAATCGAGCCTTACGCCTGTCCATATGCCATTCGGAAAAATCCAATTTTTAGTTTCTTCTTCAGTTAAACGAGAATTTTTTGATGGAATTAAAATAGTTTCGAGAAGATCGACTTTCTTTTCAAACGGTGGGTTATCACTTTTCTTAGGATATTTATGATCGAATTTAGGAGAACGTAAAAAAGCCGTTGGAAGATCTTCTTGAACTTTATTTGGAGGAATTTCTTGAATTGCTCTCTTCCATTTCCTCACAGCTCGTATATAGTCCTCATAAGTATTAAACTGTGATGGAGATGGAAAATTCGAAAGCGAATTCCGATTTTCCATCCAAAAAGATAAAAACAAAAAAAAAATGATTTTTTTTTGAGACGAAAAAAGCTATTCAGATGAATGATCATCGATAGTACATAATTTCATATTCTTTCTAGAGCTTTATTTTTTTCAGAGAATCTGTTATCTATTATTATTGCCGTGAATCTTACAAATTGCATTCAATTTTTCTGATACTTCGGATATAAAAATAAATAGAACCTTAATTCAATATTGTCATGTATAAACAATATTAATCTACATTTCAATGCTTTTTAGGACATAGGAACCTTTTCTAATTGTTATTTTCAAGGTATTCAATCAAATATTGTAGCAAGAATGTTTTTAGACTCAAATTCTGCATTTCATAGCTTCATTAGTCAGAACTCCGGTATACATTATAACATTTAGCTAGACAAGGTGTCATTTCATTTTATTGGTGATCGAGAATATTGTAGGTATCGAAAACTCGTTGCAACAACGGGTGAAATGGTTTTCTATGCCGCAAATAATATAATCGCACTCTCAGAATTACAATATGGAAGTATATCATGGTTATGTGAAATCAAAAAGTGACAGATCAACAATGTCACACAAGAATTACGATCCACCAATGCATACAACCGAACACATTCTCAACCGTACCATGGACAATATTTTCAAGTGCGGCCGCTCCATTGGAACACACCTTGAGAAAAAGAAATCCAAATGCGATTATCCACTCAACAGAGATTTGACTCCAGAAGAGAAGAAACTCATCGAGAATACAGTCAACGGCGTACTTGCCAAGAATCTTGAAGTTAAGGCTATCTTCCTTCCTCCTGCCGAGGCTGCAAAGCTTGTCGACATTTCCAAGCTTCCAGAAGGTGCCACAGATGCTGATATCCGTATCATTCAAATCGGCGACTACGATAACTGCGCTTGCATCGGTCCACACGTTGCCAAGACAGGTGATATCAAGGGCCGCTTCAAGATCACATCTACTTCATTGGAGCAGAATGGCATTTGCCGTATTAGATGGACATGCAAGTAAAACAATGTTTAATTACAGTTTAGTTTTTATTGAATAAATTACCAACAAATTATATATTTTTCATGAAGATCTCTCTGATTAAATTACTTTTGAAGTATGTTTCTCTTGAAATTGAATAATTTTGATCAATAAAAAATTAAATTTCGATAATAATAATGAGCCAATTGAATGACTATTCTATAAATTCAAAATTAAGGGGAAATACACATTATTTCATCTTATTCAAGCAATTTCCCTGTTTATTTTCTTGTGTTTTTAACTTTAGAAGAGATTTATTGGATCTCTATAATGGAATCATACAATATGATACCACATCACTTGTTAAAATGCTTATCTTTCATAGTTTTCAAGAAAAATTTTCTTAATTCGACATAATTTTAACGCAAAATGATATTAAATAGCAAGTATTAGTAATATACTATCAATAAACATTTTATTATACATACAAAAAACAAAAATAAATGGAAAATAACAATAAATATATTTGTTATCAGATCAAAAATCAAACAATAAGTAATTAAATGGAGCTAACTTGAATCTGAGACATTTTGAGGCCTTCACTCTCGATTGTTCCTGCATCATTTGTAATTTCTCTATGAGGGACATTCAAAACAAGTTTAATTTTATTTTGAATGTACTCTGGTCGACATTGGGATATATATTTTTTCAATTCTCTGATGGTTGTTGATAAATTGATGGATAAAGATAAGATAGAACTGTCTTCGAGTTGTAATCTGATCTTTGTTGATGGTAAGTTCGGGTTTGCAAAGTCTTTGAATGTATTTGGAGCTCGAGATGAATTTTGATTTGATGCAGTTGTTGGACGTTTGTTTGTATCGCCTCCAATGCTTTTAGATTGACCAATAAACACATTAGGCTGTGTTTTAGGCTTGATGTACTCTTCTTCTCGCTTATCTATTACATCTAAATCTGATGGACGACATTTATCACGTAATTCTTCTGGTATTTGAGCTTTATTGACTGATGATAAGAAATCAGCATTCTTAGGATCAGAATTTTCGCGGAATTCTCCATCATCTACAATAAAACCATTTTTATAGAATGTAATTGAATGTTTTCCTTTTGACTGATCACCAATACTATTTTTCTGAAGTTCTTTTTGACTCATTTCGGTAAATATATCATTAATTATTTCATTTGACGTTTTCAGAGGCTGAATTGACTTTGGAGCAACTGATGTTCTAGAAGGAGCAGCATTATTCGGTCTTGGAGTTTTAGGTTTAATAATTCTTGGTGTTTTTCTAACTTCTGCACCAGAAAAGATTAAATCAACAGCTCTATTGGCATCTCCATTCGTCATTTCCAAATATTGCTTTGCTGTTTTAATATCAATACCAGTTATTTCAGCAACTTGTTTTTCAGCCATCAGAAAATAAAAAAAAATTTCGAGAAAAAAAAATTTTACATTGTCAATTTTTCTAATCGTCACCTTTCATTCAAGCACATCAAATCTAAATGTAAACTAAAACTTACTTCTTTTGATGGAACAAGATCCATTCACCGCAGGCATCCAAGAACCACAGAAGTCGATTACTGAGCAACTCGAGAAGACTGTATTGGATTTTGAATCAGAAAATCCTGTAGAAAAAACAATTGATGATGGAATCAATACATTAATAAGCAAAATTGAAGAAATTGATATGAGCGTCATTGATGTTGTTGGCAACCAGATGTCCGCCTTATCAAAAGAATTCGATTCTTTGATATCTAATACACAAAAATTATTCACAGATTTGTCTAATTTGAAAACCACCCAGCAAGATATACTCAATGCCAAGATGGATGACACCATAGCCTTAGTTTCCAAACTGCAGAATACAATGAACAGTATTCGAAAGATAAGAGGACGTTCTCCTTTCAAAAATGGAAACAAAACATTCTAAAGAAATTATTCTTCTTAACATTTTTTCCTTTTTCATTATTAATTTTTATAATTTTGATTTTCCTTCTCCTTTTTGAAATTTTCCATATTATTTGATTATTGCACAACATGTACTACATGAATCATCAACATTTATATCTCTATTTGTTTTAATTTGTCATAAAATGGATCTTTCTGAATCTTCATAAATACAGACAGTCCATTTGCATTTATTCATTGTTTCAACTATGATTTTTCTTTATAGTGATCCAAACCCTCCACAAAATTTTCCGGTGAAATTTTCGTGACAGTTTTTAATTAAAAGTCGTTTTTGGTCCATTAATTAGATATTGAGTATTTACATTTTAAAATCTCTTTCCATCGACTTTGACTCGGAATTAAAATTGAAATGAAATTGAATTAAACCTTTAAGATAATGTGTTAAATCTTCTTCAAGTATTCAAAACGCAATATTTTATCTAAATAAAAACCAACACCTTTTCAAAAACCTGGATTTTTCAGACAGAACAAGACCCTTCATATTTTTGAAAACTATTAAAATTTTGTGTCACTTTTGTTGGATGCCACAACAATAAAACGCATCAATTTTTATCCCCAAAATTAATTAAGCTATTATTAACCTTTCAGGTTTTTCAAATTTCTTTCAAAAAGTGGTAAATAAGAGGAGGAAAAAATAATAAAAATTAGCCATATCCATGTGTTCTTTTATTTACTCACAAAGTTTCCACAAAATATTTTTTATCAAAAAGAAAAATCTGAAAAAAAATCTATGGACTCTTCAGACTATTTAGACTCAGATCTAACAGAAGATGAAGTCAAAAAAGTCCGATTGCAAGTCCCACTTACTCAGTTTCAGGTTTTTGAGATAGAAAAATGCTCAGCTACGTTTAATAAATCAACATATAACTATGCAGTTTGTGCATTATCAGAACATTTACTCGTTTTCCTGAAAAAAGGCTTTGGAGCTTCATTTTCTGTTATTGTACAATACCATATTCTCAATATCCGCAGTCTCCATGTCGAAGACGAGAACAACGTCAAATTAACAGTCGGCAACACAAAAATCTGTTTACGCGGACCAAAAATGATCCAATTTACACGTATTCTTCTTAGAAATTATATTTTACTTACTCGTCTTTGGCCGGCATCAATGTGTTTGGACTTCAAACCAGATAAACCGAAAAATTTCCCAGCATTTACACCACACATATCCCTTTCAGAGATGTTCCAACTCACTTATAATGCGTATTGCGCCTATTTCAACGTTGACTACTACCATGACATTGCAAGATTCTTCCATACGCTTGTCAGCACTGGCAATGCCATTGCTAACTTTTCAAATCTTCCTTTATCTGTTGTTGATACGAACTTCCAAGACCCTGTCTCATTACGTCCTGTCATAGCTTCATTCATGTTCTGTCCTATGATCTATGGATACCTTCTTACAGAGGTTTCTCGCCCAGATTTCTTGAAATCCATCGCTCCTTTGGTTAAAAACAACTTGAAGGCCAAGTTCATCCAATGCAGAGCATGCTCAGTCCGTGAAGGTATCAGTGACATCGCAGATGCTGTCATCTCCAACAAACAATCAAATATTATTTTTTATGACTTGTCAAAGAATCCAATTATCGGCATTTCCAAGTTCGCATATGCACTTTCAAAGGTCGAACATAAGATTCTCTACATCAACGTAAGCGATACTAACCTCAAAACACACGATGGAATTTATTTCATGAAAGCTTTCAACAACAACCCATATTTAATGAGTGTTATGTACTTCTACATGAGGGGCGCACCAATCGGCTACGCAGCTATCGATCAATTCTGCCAATTCCTTGAATTATGTTCCAAACACAACAAAAGTAACCTCAGGCACTTGGATGTCGGCACAATCTACGAAGGATCCGAAGTCTTCTTCGGCTGCCTCAAAGCGAACCCGATGCCCCTTCAGTATCTCGCGATAACAGATTCGACCATCAAAGGCAAAGGTTACAGTAAGTTCATATTGTATCTCGAAACTACATCGTTCCTCGAAGAACTCGATATTTCCGGTATCGGTTTCACGATTGAACAAATTATCGAGATTCTCCAAACGATTGTAAAGAATGATACCATCATGAAGATGAAGATCCACATGAATAGAATACCTTCCATCGGTAAAGGTTTCTCTTACATCGCTGATTTCTTCAATAAACCGTCAAATTGTGACAAATTTGAGGGAATTTCCATGAATCAGTGCAGTATCGATGCCAAACTTATCACTAAGTTCGACCAATTGTTCAAGAACTTCAAGAATTTGAAGGAATTGAACATTGGTGGCAATTTCTCGAAATCAAATCGCGAACTCGAGAATGTTATCGACCTTTTGATGTCACTTGAGCCTGTTGTACACCTCGGGCTTGAAGGAAACAGCAAATACTACCTCGGAGAGAAGGGATGCTCTTATTTATGCCATCAATTGAAGAGAAACCAACATATAAGAGAGATCGATATATCAAACAACAGGATTGGAGATGAAGGCCTCAAAGCAATTTCATCTCTTCTTGAATCAAACGAAAAAATTACAGTTCTCAAGTGCGATGGATCACTTCCGAAAACTTTGGAATCTATTACTATGCTGTTCTCAATTGTTGGATCACACCCGTCACTTTACGATTTCCCATGGCCGTACAATGACGTTTACAATTTCATCGAGAACTATGCATCATCCAAACAACGCGATATCACCCTTGAAACTCTCAGCAGCAAACAGAAGGCAGCAGCCGAGAATATGCAGAAGAACCTCAACAAGGCAGGAATGCACTCATCTCTCTCTTTATTAAGAATTCCGGAGATCGACCGATGCATTGACGAATGCACACTCACATTCCACGAGCTAGTCTCTACACAGCCAGTCAATACTCACTCAAAGATTGTAAGAGATTTCGGATTAAATTACCCTCACATCGACGAAAACTGCATGTACAAGGGTAAGAAAGCCACATTACCAAAGCAACCAAAGTGCTACGATGCTTCAAGCGATTCTACAGGCTTTACTGAGAATAATTTAGATTTAGCTCACACATCTCAACTGGAAGCCCTTGCTATCAGGAGACCAGACCTTGATGAACGCATTAAGCAGCTCAAGAAGTCAATTGACGGCGAAGAAGAAGGCGAACAAGTTGAAAAGATGCAGACATTAGATTTAATCAATTCAGAGCAACCACAAGGAGCATTAGTACAAGATGCAAACAAACCAAAGGAGGACGAAGAATCATCGGATTCCTCCGAACGATCAACATCCACTTCAACAACATCAAACAGAAATGTAAACATCTCAATTCCGGTCGATTCTACTCCAACACCAACTTCATTCCAAATCGAGCAGCCGCCACCACAGATACAAGCTATACCACCAGTGAGGTTCCAGGCGGACGAACAAGTCAGAGCTCCATCTCCATCTGGTCCGATTTTGCTATCTCTTCCATTACCACCTCCTCAGATCAACTTACAACAAAGAGCAGTTCCTCCACCAGTTCCTCTTGGTACCAGCCTTCCTGCCTCAGCAGCAGCGGCTCCAGCTCCACTTCCTCCACCTCCGATGCCGAACCAAGACAACTTCAACTCTCTTATTCTACCACCAGGAGTACAGACAGTCCCTCCTGTCAAACCTGCTCCTCTTTCTTCACTCGAAATTGTCGAATCTATGAAACCAGATCAGCCGCACGACATGCCAGCAATAAACGGACCACTTCCTCCACCACAATCGAACGACGAAATGGGATCTCTCAGGTCAGTCAACATTCCTCCTCCAGGACCAATGTCCCGACCACTTTCTACCGGATTACCTCCGATGCCGCCCCCAATTATGCCAGGTTCCATTCCAGAGCTCAATTCCGGCAACTTACCTCCTCCACCATTACCTGGCCAGAGTACTCCCAAACCATTCACTCCTTCATTGGGAACATCTCTTCCAAATGTTCCACAAGCACCAGCACCACTTCCTCCAATTCCAAATCAGAGCCAAGGATTCACTCCATCGCTTGGAACATCCCTTCCTAATGTTCCTCAGGCTCCTGCTCCTCTTCCTCCAATTCCACAACAACAAAATAACAAACCAGATGATTCTTCTGATTCAGACATCTCTTCTACTTCAAGTGTGACATCAATTCCAACTGATTCGGAGTCTGATTCATCAGATTCTTCTTATTCATCCTCCAAATCATCTAAACCAGCTGCAAAACCTCCTCCATCTCCTAAACCAGTTCCAGCTCCAGTTCCTGCTCCTGCTCCAAAGCCTGCTCCTGCTCCAGAGAAACCAAAACCAAAACCAAGGAGATCTGATTCTTCATCTAGTTAAGTGATATCTTTTTTTTATTAATTAATTTTTTAATTTCATAGTTGTTATTTTTTTTACCCATAATAAAAAAAATCATTTTTTTCCCATTATTTTTTCAATCATTTTTTAAAAGGATGCTCTTAATACTTTTTGACATCCTATCACAAATGATTTATTTATATAACAACTATACTAGGTACTATGTTGCAATTTATAATAACTGTTTACTGCTAAAATTATAAATTAACATTTCACTAGAATGTAATAAGTGCACCCATAAATAATTCTGTTTAAGTTCAGAACAATTATGTCAATACATAAAGTTCACCTAAGAATCCAAACACAAAAGTTTTCCAAGATGATCCTGAGTATTAATAATTTAGTTGTTGAAAAAAAAATTTGACATCAAATGGGCCTAAGTACATCTTTAATATTTTTAATTATTTATTAAAAAGTTAATGGATTGTTTACGAGGTCTTCTTCAACTCGATCTGATTGTTGTGGATCTGGCTGTGGTTTCTTCTTCTTGAAATAGCAGCAAAGAACTATTGAAACAACAACAATCACAATGATTCCACAAGTAACTCCAAGAGCAATTGCAAGTTTCTTCTTTTTCGCTTTAAGTTCCTTGTCTAAATCTGAGTAATCAAATGTCCATTCTGGAGGCGTTTGTGGATCACCTTCAAGAACTTTTGTGTTTGGATCAAATGGATCTTTGTTGAAGTTCATGTAAGACAATTTCATTGTTCGACAAAATCTCTCTGGATCTGGACATCTATTTATCTTTTTAATTATATATTCTGTATTATTGTAATAAACTTTAATTGAATGATTGAATTCTTCTTTAATATTTGTCTTTGAGCATGTCTTTGATACAGTTTTTCCTTCAGCATCGATTACTGAAAATTCGAAACTTTCATAGTCATTACATTTGTAAGTTCCACAAAGGTGCTCGAATTTCAATTGACCATATTCGTATGGGCCATAATCATCGAGATATCCTGGAAGATTTGCTGTATTATTTACACAGTAAAATTCTGGTCTTGGGAATCTTTGATAATCAGATGCTGGATCCCCACCAATATAAGATTCTTTATTTGGATTGTAGAAAAGATATCTTCCTTCGCTACAGTAATGTTGAAAAAGTGAATTATTGCAGTCAACATTACTATCAAGAAGGTAATTATAATTATTTGTAATTGATCTATAATCAAATCCAACAGCATTTCCAGAATATAAAAGATAACCTTCTGGGAATGATTTCTGTGGTGGCTCAACTCCAAAACCATCAATTGGTTTTCCATCAATTGATTCTTGGTGTCCAAATACTAGAGGTTGAGCATTTGCCCAGTTTATCTGGTAGAAACCAGTATCCATCAGAACTGATAATGTTGCATCTGTGTATCTATTATAAGGAATTCCATGGTCAATGTAAATATATCCAACCATTGTTTCTGTTTTATAAACTCTGCGCTTTAAATGACTTCCTGCTGTTCCTGATCCACCAAAATCTTCTAATTCTAATCCAGATGGGCATGTAGCACCATTATCACCATAAAATGTTTCAACACCAAATCTCTTCTTTGCAAAAAGATGGGCATATGGAGTGACCAAAAATGAGAAATGTTTTCCATATTTAGTGAATGAACAAAGAGCTTTTTCTCCATATTCAGTAGATGAATTGATTGGATGGAAATGCTTGAACAAAGCACTCATGAAACCGAGAGCATGAGTCAGTTCATGAAGAAGTGTAATAAAGTACATATTATTGAAATCTGTAATATTGCATGGAACAGATGGAACATATGCAGGATTGTAAGTTGTCGCGGCAATAAATGGCCGATACGAATCAGAAAGAAATTCTCGAACAACTGCAGCTGCTATAGTACCACTAGGATCTTCTTCAATTTCTGTGGATGCAATAATTGCAAAATCTGTATCTTCGAATTCCATTTCTGGGAAATCTCCTAAAAATGGAAGAGAACTGACTTTAATTGGCTCAAGAAGACTTTGTACTTTTATGGTGTTTTGAACAAACTTGATAACATTGTCATTTGTAACTTTGATAGCATTTATTTGTTCTTTTGTTAAAATATCACTTTGTTGACATTTGTAAGGCTTATTGTTAATCTTAATTTCTTCACCTACTTTGTAACAACTTGTTGGAGAGCGGAGTTTTCCATCAAGAAAATCGTAGTTAAATTTTATTCTTATTGGTCTCCATTTATCTGAATGTGGAAAGATATATTGGGCCTTTCTATTTTTAAAATTAAAATTAATCTTTTCATTAATCTCATCGTGTCTACAAATAAAGCACAGTAATGGTAAAAACATTTAACTATTATGACTGTTTATTTCAATTAAAAACGATAATCAAAATTTTGACTTTAATAATGGTACTAATCAAAATATTTATATCAATTTAAAATACAATAAAATCTAATTCAATATCCATTCAAATGGCAGACAACAATTGAATAGGAATTCAATTTTAGTCAATATTTCTCATGACTTTCTAAATATTAGAAATGCCTTTTAAGAACCAATTTGCTGAATTAGTAATCTATGCTTTATTGTTTTTAATGAGATTTGATAATTTCCACCAAATGAAAAAATAATATTTTTTTAAATAAATTTTATATTTAGAGATATGATATAGGTTACTTCATCTAACATATAAACTTCGAATTGACAATAGTTGTTCTTTTTTAAATACTCAAGAATGATTTTTTTAAATATAAAATTGCTTTCATCAGTAAAGTTTCCTTTGATTTCGTCTAAACTTTATGATGTCTAAGGCAAAGAATTTATTGTTTGAACTAGATTTTTTAAATATAATGTTGCAAAAGGCAATTTATTATTCAAAATATGTAAGATCATTTTTATGACTATTATATATTTAAAAAATTATGGATTATTTACCATGTCTTCTTCAACTTGATCAGATTGCTGTTGATATGGTTGTGATTTCTTCTTCTTGAAATAGCAGCAAAGAACTATTGAAACAACAACAATCACACTGATTCCACAAGTAACTCCAAGAGCAATTGCAAGTTTCTTCTTTTCCGCTTTAAGTTCCTTGTCTAAATCTGAGTAATCAAATGTCCATTCTGGAGGCGTTTGTGGATAACCTTCAAGAACTTTTGTGTTTGGATCAAATGGATCTTTGTTGAAGTTCATATATGATAATTTCATTGTTCGACAAAATCTCTCTGGATCTGGACAATAGTTTGTCTTTGTTATTATATATTCAGTATTGTTATAGTGAGCTTTTAATGTATGATTGAATTCTTCATTTATGTTCTTCTTCGAACATGTCTTTGTTATTGTTTTTCCATCTGCATCCTTAATTGTAAAATCGAAACTTTCATAATTATTACATTTATATGTTCCACAAATATCATCGATTTTTAAATCTCCTGCATTTGTATACTGTGGAACATCAGTAAGTCTTCCTGGAAGGTTTGCTGTATTATTCCAACAATATAATTCTGGATAAATGGTTAGTTGATAATCAGCCAAAATATCCGATGAAATTACCGGCGATTTCACTGGATTATAGAAGGCATATCTTGCTTCACCACAATATAATTGGAAGAAAGGATTACTACAATCAATATATTCTTCTAATATTAACTTATTATAGTAAGCTGTGATTGATCTATAATCAAAACCAACATCATTTGTTAGATCAAATAAGTATTTTTCCGGGAATGATTTTTGTGGAGGGTCAATTGCAAAACCTTCAATTGGTTTTCCATCAATAGACTCAGGATGTCCAAATACTAAGGGTTGTGCATTTGCCCAATTTATTTGATAGAAGCCTGTATCCATTAGAATGGATAATGTTGCATCTGAATACCTGAAAAATGGTATTTTTGTCAGAGTATCATCTCCAACCATTATTTCTGAGTTATATACTCTTTTCTCTAGGTGACTTCCAGCAGTTGAAGATGAACCTTGATCTTCCAATTCAATACCAGATGGGCATTTAGCACCATTATCACCATAAAATGTTTCAACACCAAATCTCTTCTTAGCAAAAAGATGACAATATGGAGTTACTAAAAATGTAAATTTCCTTCCATATTTAGTGAAAGAACAGAGAGCATTATTTCCATACGGAGTTGTTGAATTAATAGGATGATAGTGTTCAAAGAGTGGGTACATAAATCCAAGTGCATGTGTGAGTTCATGGAGAACTGTACTGAAAAAGTTATTATCATAATCAGTTAAATTACTTGGTGTGGACGGTACAAAAGCTGGATTAAATCTTACCATACCTAGAATAGGGCGGAATGTAGAGTCAATGAAATCTCTGGATCCAGCAGCAGCTATTTCAGATGATCCATCTTCATGGACATAAGATGTAGCGACCAGCGCAAAATCGGTGTCAGGAAATTTCATTTCTGGGAATTCCCCAAAATTAATCATGTAATTGACTTTAATAGGTTCGAGAAGGCTTTGAACTTTAAGTGTATTCTGAAGATACTTAATTACATTGTCATTTGTTACTTTAATTGCATTTATTTGTTCTTTTGTTAATATGTCTTTTTTTTGACATTTATATGATTGGTTATTAATTGTAATTATTTGACCTACATCGTAGCAGCTCCTCTCATTGCGTAGTTTTCCTTCAACAAAATCATAATTAACCTTAATTCTTATTGGTCTCCATTTTTCGGACTGTGGAATATCTGATTGAGTAGTTCTTTTGTTCTTTAATTTTAAATATTAATTAAAGTAAATGTATATTTTGTAAAGATTCTTTTTAATAAAAAATAAAATTTTGAAGAAGAACACAAAATCTTCTGAAAAATAATATCACATAAACTCATATTATTTTCTAATATATAACTATTTTATATAAAAATCAAATTCAATGATCTTAAAAGCGAAGGATAAACCTCAAAATTTACGAATATAATGAGTGGGAATATAATGCTTATCTATCATAAAACCATATGAAATATCAATTTTTGCTTTACGCCTAATTTTTGACGACAATTAGCAAAAAATGTTAAATGTTAACACTCAGTCCATTTGAATATGAAAAATAAAATCGACTTTGATTAAATGTTTTTATTTATCATGCAATTCTTCTTGCGACCAAAGATTTGAATAAAATTTCAAAAAATAAGATAGCTTAAAAAATAATATACGGTAGTGTTTACTAATAGATGAATAGTATATAAATTCTATTACCCAGATTTGCTTTACTTTTACCACTCCCCATGTAATTTCTGGGGAAAACGATAATTCATTTTTTTTATGGATGAATAGATCGTTTTCCTAGAAAGGACCTCATATCTCTGGCTAAAAAGAGTGTCAGATCCTAAATAGATTATTGATCTAGTGTACAAATCCAATAAAAAGCCTATTTTTTTGGCTTTTTTGGTGCTCATTTTTTCGAAGATCTACATGAATATGGGGAAACCATCGGATTTTTTTGGTTAACCCACATCTTCATGTAGTCTGGACTATCTTTCCTCGAAGGACCTCTTTACGGGTGTAAAAACTCATAAAGTTCTCAAAAGATTCATTCTCGATCTCCATGCTGAAAGAATTTACAATAAAAAAGAGATCTACGCATCAAACTACAGCCATAAATGAACTGAACCCCTAAAGCTCAGCTCTTAGTTTATCAAAAACGTCGAAATCCTTCTCATTGCAATCAAATTTTCTCAATAACTCATAAGAAAAATCGAATTTTGATTAAGCCGATGTTATAGGTATCACAAATACTACAAACTTGAGCAATATCGAAATTGCCAGCAAAAGTTTGAAATTGCATTGCTCATATTTGTTTTGTAAACTAAAAATCTGCTTATATTATTCATTAATTTTTTATATATTATTCATATACTTTAATAAAAACAATACTATTTCACCTTAAAAATGAATTTCATAAGTCAATATTATTTTTTTGAAAATGTATCAATTTTCGATTAAAACAACATGAGAATAAAATTTACGCAAAATTATTTTAAAAAATGGTTTTAAAAATTTACAATTGATTAAGAATAAGATTGGAAGAAGTTTTGAAGTTTAATTTTAAGAAAAAAAATTCGGATATTATTCATGGATCTAAGTAATCTGATATTTGAGTATCGGCACTATGCATAAAACATATATTTATAGTTTTTTTGGATTTTTATGATTTTAAATATATTCAAATTTGGCAATCCAATAGATTTTTAAAAAATAGGTAATAAAAATAGATTACATATGCAGCAGATTTAGAACATGAAACAAATCTTATAGTGACCCAAAAAAAAATTCATGATCCAAAAAAGAAAAAAATTGGCTAAATCGGAATCAAACCTTGGCATAATGAATCATTATGTCGGATGTTTACACTACACCGGCAGTTCGAAAAATACCCTTGGTGGTTCTATTTAATAGCTACTCCCAACGATAGGCGGTGTCCCCAGCTTTCGAGAGGTGGTAAAAGTAAAGCAAATCTGGGTAAAATGGATTTGATCCAAAAAAATATAAAATCAAAAATAATTGTTATAATTTAAATGAAGAAGTAATTTAAAACGATTTTATTTATGATCAAATTTTATATATTTTTTTGGATCAAATCCATTTTAATAGAATTTATATACTATTCATCTATTAGTAAACACTACCGTATATTATTTTTTAAGCTATCTTATTTTTTGAACTTTTATTCAAATCTTTGGTCGCAAGAAGAATTGCATGATAAATAAAAACATTTAATCAAAGTCGATTTTATTTTTCATATTCAAATGGACTGAGTGTTAACATTTAACATTTTTTGCTAATTGTCGTCAAAAATTAGGCGTAAAGCAAAAATTGATATTTCATATGGTTTTATGATAGATAAGCATTATATTCCCACTCATTATATTCGTAAATTTTGAGGTTTATCCTTCGCTTTTAAGATCATTGAATTTGATTTTTATATAAAATAGTTATATATTAGAAAATAATATGAGTTTATGTGATATTATTTTTCAGAAGATTTTGTGTTCTTCTTCAAAATTTTATTTTTTTATTAAAAAGAATCTTTACAAAATATACATTTACTTTAATTAATATTTAAAAACGTGCTCTATCAAAAGTTCCAAAAATTCAATATTTTAGCTTTTCCGAGGTGTCACTTTTGATGAATTTCTGTTTACAACACTATACCCTGTCTTTTTTATTTCATAAATATCTCAAATTAAATTTTGTAAAAAACATGTAATCATATGGTGTAAAAACCCTCTAGAACATTTTAATTCAAACAGAATATTCACATTTGAATAATTTATTAATAAATTAAAACAACAATTCCATATGCAAAATTATAATTGAAATTTTAAATACCGAGAATTGATTTTTAAATGTGCGTGTTAATTAATTCTTGGCAATTCTAATTGTCATTAACATCAAAAATTCTGAAAATTTGAAAATGCTAAATATACATTTTTTTATTGTTTGAAAGAAGTTATAACAATTCTTGCTTTAATTCAGCCTGCGGATTATTGAGATTATCTGTGGTTACAGACTGATTGTTTTTAACATGTAACTTTCTACAGAAAACGCAATATGAAATCAAAGCAATAATCAAAGCAATAATAACAATTACAGAAACAACAACAACAATTCCAATTATCTTCTTTTCTTTGATTTCTTTTTCTAAGTCATCATAATTCAATGACCATTCAGGAGGAGTTTGTGGATCTCCTTCAAGGACTTTTGTTTTTTCATCTAATGGATCTTTGTTGAAATTCATCAAACTCAATTTAATTGTTCTACAAAATTGTTCAGGATCAGGACAATAATTTATCTTAGAAACTCTATTAGTTTTATCAGAAATGAATTTAACAGGATAAATAAATGAAGAATTGATGTTTTCTTTCGTGCATTTCTGAGTAATTTCTTTGTTATCGGCATCAACAACATTAAACTCAAAACTTTCATATCCATTACATTTAAATGTTCCGCATAAGTTTTCGAAATGTCCTTCGGCGTAATCTGATTTTGGCATGTCATTTAAGTATCCAGGAAGGATGACTTTTTTGTTTTCACAATAATACTCAGGATCAATGATTTTTTGGAAATCTGCAAGATAATCTATTCCAATTAGTGGTTCTTTGTTGGGATTATAGAATTTATACTTCGCATCTGAACAATAGAGCTCAAAACCGGCATGTTTACATGTATTTTCATTGTCTTTAAGAAATATTTGATGAACTTCAAAAGATCTGTAATCAAAACCAACACTATTGTTCTCGGTGAAAAAGTAACCTTGTGGGAATACCTTTTGCGGTGGTTCCATGGCGAATTCTTCCATTGGTTTCGAATTTAATGATTCTTGGTGCCCAAAGACTAAAGGTTGAGCATTTACCCAGTTAAATTTGTAGTTTCCGGTATCCATGAGTACAGCCATCAATGCATCAGAGAATTTGATGTGAGGAGTGTTAGATTCAGAATAAGATCCGACCATTAGATCAGTAAAATACGTTCTTTTCTCTAAATGTGACATGGATGTTCCATCACCACCTTGATCTTCGAGTTCAATACCTGCTGGACATGATTTTCCGCTATCTCCATAAAATTTGTCAACTCCGAACCTCTTTTTCGCATAAAGATGTGAATACGGTGTTACCAAAAATGTAAATTTCTTTCCGAACTTGCGCAATGAGCAAGTTAAAGTGGAATAATAATTATCTTCATCTTCGTAAGGATGAAAGTAAGGGTACATTGCTTGTAGGAAGCCAAGAGCATGTGATAACTCATGAACAATAATGTAAAAGAATTTGTTATCAAAATCTGAAATGTTACTAGGTTTTTCTGGAACAAATCTGGGGTTAAAGAACATTACACCAATATACGGACGATATGATGGCTTTAATACAAAGCGTGGTCCTGCAGCTGCGATAATCGGATTTCCTTCTCCATAAGCTGCTGATGATGCAACAATAGCTAAATCAGTATCGTCGAAAACCATTTCGGGGAAACTTCCTAAATCTGGAATATTAGTTACTGTGATTGAATTTTGAACTGATTTAACTTTAATTGTGTTTTGGAAGAACTTAATTACATTATCAACGGTTTGCTCTACAACTTTTATTTTAGCTTCTGTCATTATATCTTCTTCTTGGCATGAATATGAAACACCATTATTTCTAATTATTTGATTAACCCGGTCACATCTAAGTGGAAAGTCATTCTTACCTTCTAAGAAATCATAATTGAACTTAATTCGGATTGGTCTCCATTTAGCTGAGAGATCTATAGTTTCAAGCGGCTCTCTTTGCGATTTGCTCGAAAAGTTAAGGTTGCCATTAATTACTTCGTGATTGCAAACGAAGTTGTAATGGCAAATCAGGACAATTAGCATTTATCCAAGTGAAATTTTCTGATCCGATTTTCACTTTTTTAGCATGTTGTAAAACTTTTTAGTCACTTTTATGTTATTTTACTCACTCTAATAAAAACAGGAAAATAAGCTCATATTTTGTAAAAAGGTTTGAAACCCTTTCATTGAAAATGCAAAATTGACAAAATGTTTTCTAAAATAAAATTCAGAGAAAAGAAAACATTTCCTTCATAGAAGCTTTGAAGGCATCCATACGATCCTAAAAAAAATAGGGGCATTATCATTTTCGTCTGAAAAAGTGACAAAATATGAGCTTGTCACTTTTCCAGACGAAAATGATAATCCTTCAAAAACATATTCATGTATTAAGGGTGCACACGAAAAGGTACATTCACTATTTTTGACAAAATTTTAAATTTTCATGGGGTTGTAAATCTTATAATAACTAGATGAATAAGGAATGAATCCCAGTATAATGTGCATCATTATATTAAACACTATATGTAAGGCTAATGATTCTATTAACACTTATGAAGATCTATAGTATTTGAGCAGATAAATTTGATAATTTCCAAAACTCTTATATTTCAAAATTAAAGTGTGCGAATGCATTTAAATGAGAGCAAAAAGAGATTGATGCTGTTAAAACTAGGTGTTAATTTGCAATTTTTTCGCATCACAAGAACTACCCAGTAAATTCGGCTATCTTTCTTTGCAATTATTCTCCATTATACATATAATATAATGGTTAAGGTTTGAAGAAAAGTTACTAGAGAATTATTGACTTTTGAAATAATGCAGAATTTTACTTGAAGAAATCATTAATTTATGAGTTCCAAATTGCTAAGCATGACGAAGGATCATTAAATTTGCTACAATTAAATACACTTATTGCAGAATTAATATTTTTGAAATTAAAAGTTTGAAATATTGCCTTTTTGAATAAAAATTTAAATTTTATTATATAATCATGATAATATCTTATAGAAATTAAAAGAAAATATTTTAAACCATTCAAATATTTTGAATGTCTTATCAATTTAAAATATTAAAAGATAGCTTGATTTTATCATCATTAGTTGTTATCAAAGTTTTCTTCTTTTGATGAACAACAGTAAATGATTTGTTAATTACTTGTCTTCCTTTTTCGCAGCAAAATCGAAAGTTATGATGATAATCTTGCTCTCAATTTTGAAACTCTCTGATTTACAAGTAAGCATTCCTTTGGAAAAGCAGTCCTATTCTGTTTTCAAGATATTTTAAAGCCTCCATTTCATACAATGCGCAGATCTATTCGAAATTGCAAGAACTCTCAAGAAAAATGCAGCAGCAAAGAAGATTCCATAGTTTCTAGCATCAAAAATTTACAACCTTAATACAACAGTTAAAGAGAAGCTCGAAAAGAAAATAATTAACCATAAAGCTGGAAACCATTCGATATCTACTATTGGATCTAATAAAAAGTTAATTATAACATATTTAACATGCTATTTGTTGACTTTGTTCCATTATATTACCATATATATCTTTTTGAAATCTAAAATATTTTTACGATTTTAACCATGTGTTGTTGAAACCATATATCAATCTTAGCTAAAGTATAGTTTATGAGTCTGTCACCATCTAACGTATGAATTTTCAAAAATGTCAAATATGTTCATTTTTTCTGTAGATTCAGCCATAATTTCACGTTGTTATACTATTCAACTATTAATTAATATTTTTATCGATTTAAATATATGATGAGATGCTTAGTTCTCCTGGAAATCGATTTTTAATCGCAATTTTAACTTTCCAAAAAATTCAAAAATAAAAATCCCTCTCAATTTTATAAGTTTTATAACTCGCCAAATCTCTTGCCAAATTTTTTTTGGCCCGTATAAATATTGTTAGGCACTATATAGGGATGCTATTTATCCTATTTTTATCCCATTTTACTGTTATCGCCTAGTGAATGTACCTTTGCACACGAGAGGATCACGTAAACTTCAGAATTTAGAACCTTATTTTTAGGCATTATCTTGGCTACCTATTTAGGCTCGAAAAGCAAAAAATATCAAAAAATACAACTTGACTCCATTATGACCCTTTCATTGAGGTAGTTTTTATCCGCTAGTATTTTCCCTTTGAATCTCTTTACAATTCGAAATCAAATTCAAATCTCAGTAGAAGAAAGGAAGAATCGACTTACTACGGTTGTAATACGAATAAATACATATATTTAATTATTTTTATTTACATAATAATTGTTTGAAGCTCATATTCCAACAAATTTTTAAATAAAAACATTAAAATGTTGAAAATGTTCATATATTTTAATAGGGTTTTGGCACTTTATTGAGGAATTACTACATACATAGTCGAACTGAACTTGATATTTTGAAATTTAAATTATTTATCAAAATTAAAATTTAACTTGAAATTTATAATTATTTAGTCATATTTTGCATAATTCTAAGTAGATTTTGTAAAAAATCAAGAAAGAAAAATTTTAACGTGCTTTATTTTTTCTTTTTTATAATAATACATATTATTATATAATTAACATATTCATAATGTTTCACCCTTTCAAAAATATAATTCTCCTCCTCTCAAATAAACGTACATACGGGTGGCCTCTTTTTTCAAAAAATTAAAATTTGAAATTTTGGGCTCAAATATTAGAGATTTTTTCAACCTTCAACTGTTGCATGCTAAGTTCGGTCAACGATAGGAATTGAGGGGAAATTAATCATCGAGGAAGTACGATTATGTAAAGTAAAAAAATGTTGTGGGATTTTTAATATTGTATATAATTTTATAATAAAATTTTTGTGAGACATTTGAAGAAGCACATATATTTTTTTGAATTTAAAAATTAAAGTAGTGTTGAATGAATTTATTGATTAATTTAATACGGATATTTCTCAAAATTAATCAAAAATAGGTTTTCAGAGAACTTTTGAGATATCTTTTCAAAATGTCTTTTTGAAAATATATAAGTATTATATCAAATTGAAAAAAGGCATTTATCAAAATTCTAAATTCTTAATAAAAAATAACTTTTCAGAGGATTGTGATTTTGAAAGCATGAGTAATAAATAAAAAATATCTACGATTTTAATGAGGGAATTGTTCCTTATGAGGTATACATTATAACTATATATCTCATAAGGAACAATTCCCTCTTGATAGCTGGGAAACTTTCTCTGAATAACTTATCATTTGGAGAAAGTTTCCCAGCTATCTATTAGAAACTAAAGGCTGTGAGGCACTAATATATAATCAGTGCCTCATAGCCTTTAGTTTCTTATTAAAAACGAGAAAACTTGTTCGAAATGATAAACAATTCCGAACAAGTTTTCTCGTTTTAAGGAGGGAATTGTTCCTTATGAGGTATACATTATAACTATATACCTCATAAGGAACAATTCTTTCTTTAAATGGGAGAAACTTTGTCCGAATGTTAAACTATTCGGACAAAGTTTCTCCCATTTGTAGTGGAGATGGAAGGCTTTGAGGTATATTATATTAATATGTACCCCAAAGCCTTCCATCTTTATTGTACAATTTAAAAATTCAGGAAAAATGTAATAAGATTTTTATAAAAATTAAGCGTTTATTCGTAATTGTGTATTCAATGGTTCGGTATTTCTTTGATTTCGAAGTGTCCATCAATCATAACTCTCCAAAATGGCGTTTCACCCTGTTTCCAATGTGGTGTCTCATTGTAACACTCTTCTGGAGTCATGGGGCGAAAACCCTTTTTGGGAAGGGTTTTATGTGGTACTGAGTTGTAATTTTTCCTGAATTTATCAAGAAATTCTTGAATTTGTTTTGCATTTGAAGACCGGCCGACATTTCTTTCAAGAGACGGCCAGAGCCTTTCAATCTTGCCGTTCTGGCGCGGCATATGGGGGAGAGTGTGGCGGATTTGAATGTTGTTTCGCATGAGCCAATTATAAAATTGGCCCATATTCTCTCCCCCGTTGTCGGACCAGAAACAAAATGGCTTTTGATATAAGCCAATCGTTTCTTCGGCAACTCTTGTTGTAGATTCGGAAGATTTATTTGGCAAAATTTTTAAAGCCAACAAAAACCGAGATTTATCGTCTATTATACCATAAACAGGTAACCTCTGTGAACCGTATAAAAAATGAACATCTACATGCCATATGGTATCAGGTTTTGTTGCTTCATATAGCGTATAATATTTTTGAGGGGGCCTGTCACTTTTTGGTTCTTTGATCTCCAAAATACTGTAAATTCTTCTGAGTTTATTGTAGGAAACTGAATAAACATTTTGATCCATGTTTAAACGCCAAAACATCTTTTGGATTCCGCACATATATTCCTGAAATTTTTGGAGAACATATTGCAAATTTTCAGGAGTAATATCATCTGGTGTCGGACCAGATTTAACGTTTGGGGGCGTTAAATTTGCATTTGTGTATGCTGCTTTAAGTGTGTTTTTCGAAATTGATCTAAATTCACACTTCATTTCATCCTCGTATGGAACTCGCTTACACGCAATTAAATAATTGAGTTCGCGAGATTCAAGTTTTTCGCGTGTTTGAATTAACCACCAAGAAGGAATGGTTGGTCTACTCATAATAAAAAATGAAAAGCCAAATTCTCTCAAAAAGTTAAGTAGGACCATTTTTTTATAAAAAAAATCCAATTCCATTATGAATGTTAATTAATTTATATAATTATTGAATAAAAAATTTTCTTTGAGATTATGAAAAGTTCTTTGAAAAGTTATTTTTTCTCATTTTTAAATATTG